TCGATCCATCACCATGTGATACAAACCTTGGCACTGCACTAGCTCGAGACACTGGAAGACACTCCGTCTGAGAAACTTGGGATAAGGCTTTGGTCATTGGAGTAATTCCATGTAAAAAAACAATTGCAAATGTGCATTTGTTTTGCACATTGGACACAAATGAGCCCTGAAAGCTACTTACCCTGTATTACTCTACACATGTCGCATTTCCGAGCGGGCATTTTCCCCTTGTTGCTCTTTTCCCTCATCATGAGTGAGTTGCAGAACAATCTGAGAAAAAGATAGATGTTTTCAAAGAGAATACACCAAATAATGGTTTATTCTAAAAACAACATATTAATACAGAACAACAATCAATGTGTGAGAGTGTGATTCTTACCTTTGAACACCTTCAACACAGTCTGACACCTGTAAGACTCAAACACACATGACACATTAGGAATACACATAGAACATTAGTTATTGCAACAATCATGAAATTATACTCTATGGATTTCACAAAAAAATGACTGCATTAGCAAAGGTAAATGTATTTTAATTATCATATGGCTGGTTTTAATGTTTATAAGAAAAAGTAAGAAATTGAATAGAGTTGCAAGCGCTAGTTAGCTTGCTACCAGCAGATGAATGGATATTTAATATTTGCAGCTAACAATAACAAAAATAACGACTGTAGTGGCTCATTTGAACAGCCACAGTGAGAAGAAGTGAAAGTCTCTGACATTGAAGACCTGGGAAGACATTAAATCCATTTATTAAACAAAGCAATACATGAACATTAAACTCTCTTTCTGCAGCAGGTAACATCTGTGTGCTCCTATGGTCCCACACCTGAACTCAACTCCAACTGATGACATCACAGGTGTCTAAATGATGGGAGTGTCCCAAATATTAAAGCTGATCTCCCTGTTTTTAAACTTAGTTTACTAAGTACTGTTGTCTTTTTGCAGTTTATAAACCATTGTGAAATATACAGTAACTTTACATTTTAGAATTGAATTATTATTTTAAAACTCAAGAATCTTAACCTTTTTTAACACATAGTTTGTTGGACAGTCTAACCTAAGAATTCTAATGTGTTAAAAATAGTTTGAAATATGAAAAACAATATCATATTTTAAACTTTTACTTAAAAACAAAAAATCATAGGAAAAAGATAACAGATAAGTAATTCCAGATTAAAAGAAGCCGTGCAGATTTGTACATTAGAATAAAAAATATTCAAAAGCAGCTGAGAACAGGTGGGTCTTTAACCTGGATGTAAACAAACTGAGTGTTTCAGCTGATCTGAGGCTTTCTGGGAGTTTGTTCCAGACATGTGGAGCATAGAAGCTGAATGCAGCTTCTCCGTGTCTGGTTCTGACTCTGGACTCGGATCCAGATGACATGAGGGGTTCTGGTTGGTTCATAAGTTATGAACAAGGCACTCAAACAACACTTTTGCACATGTTCGTTAAGGCACAGCAAACAGTGACAATCTTATCTAAAGGCATTAGGTTTTCACCCTCACATTTGAGAAGCATATGCACAGGTACAGTTGAATGTAAGAATTTGAATTTGTTGCGCACAACACCAATCACCCTCTCAACGTGAATTCTGAGATGGAAGGTCTAATCTGAGGCGCATTACAGTCAATAGGACAAGCTGGAAGGGTGAGAGCTTCCTCATCCTTCCTTGAGGCAGCTGCTGGGCCGGCGATGGGGGCTGCTGGGCTTGGGCTGGCGATGGAGGCTGCTGGGCTTGGGCTGGCGATGGAGGCTGCTGGGCTTGGGCTGGCGATGGAGGCTGCTGGGCTTGGGCTGGCGATGGAGGCTGCTGGGCTTGGGCTGGCGATGGAGGCTGCTGGGCTTGGGCTGGCGATGGAGGCTGCTGGGCTTGGGCTGGGAGTGATGACTGCTCCAGATGCTGGGTACTGCGCTTTACTTGCCGCTGATATCGCGCTCCATCTGTTTCTTTAACATTATTGTGGCCTAACCGCAAGGATGGTGTCCAGTCAGGGTGATTCTCCAACATCTCATATGATGGTTTACCTAGAACAGAATAATGTATGTAGTCAATGCTTTAAACTGGCAACAAGGTAGCATAATGTCATGAACAGAATCTCAACTATTTTTAGCAATCTCATATAATGGTTTACTTACATCAGATTAATAAGATTATTAAACAATCTGGAATCTAAAGAAATATTAAACAAGAAGGTAACGCTATTCATGGTTTCATAAAAGGGCTCAGGGGGTAGTGGCAACACAAGACAAAAAAAAAGTTTGGGCACCACTGGTTTAGAGAACATAAGAGACAGAGACAAACGCACTTTGAGTGCCCATATTCCACCAACAAGGTAGGATAATGAGCAGAAACTTAAATATTCTTAGTTAACATTAATGGTTGGCCATTAAGCATTTTCATAGAGGCAACAGTTTGTTAGATAGTTAGCTAGGCAGCTAACTTAAGATGCACTTCAGTGTTTGCAACATTAACAGCTAGGTAACCTACACTTCTTAACTTTAAAAAAACAACATAAAGACATTTTAGGACGTACCCGAGTGAAAATGCAGAGAACACACTCTCATCGACTGGGGGAGAGATCGAAAGTAAGGTCCTTTCTTCTTATTGCAGCCAACCAAGCCATCCGGCGTCTCTTCGTCAGGTCAGACACCTGCGCTCCCTGATGTTGTATCCATTTTGGTGGCCTAAAAAATTGTAAACCGTTGTTCCTACGTTTTCCTTTCTTATTGTGTGAGGTACTGGAGCAGTTTTTCACACAGCAATGAGCTCCAGGCATGGTAAAACAGAAATAGCGATAACCTCCTTTGCTACCGAGTTAACAACAACAAGTGTTTGCCGCTGGGATCCTACCAACATGGCGGAGACGGGGAGGGGCTCTGTGCTATGACGTCAGCTCCTCACTCTCAATAGATTCATGCACTGGCAATTCAAAATACAGATAATATACAAAATATACTTAACAAAATCCACGTATACGTGAGAAAACAACTTACTTTCTGTCTCCAACTCTTTTCAATGTGGAAATGATACATCTATATCTAAAAACTGTGCAGACTGTGTACTTACTAGAGAGGGTGATTCCAAGTAAATAAAGCAGGGCAGCGACAGAGGTACAGATTCAACGTCATATCAACGTCTGGGAAGGCATTACTTTACGTCCAGATTCACACCTTACGTCGTTTAGACGTGGAAAACAGGTCCTCGACCGAGCGACTCACGTGTCAGGCTGTAAAGCCTAAGTTATACTCGCGCGGCGCATAAGTGTGCGTCGGTTGTTTAGGGTGTTATGTATTATTTTGTCACAGTAGTCTGGATAAATGCCTGGTCGTGGTGTAGCGGTTGCGTAATGAGACTTCAGTCCCAACGACGCAGGTTCAAATCCCCGTCGGAAAACTTTTGACATTTTACTTTTTAGCGAACAATTTTTCTGTTTGGTTAAAAACGAATAAACACTCAACATAAGATTATGTAGTGGCTAATAATAAAACTTGTGAACCCATGCATTTGCATACAATCTCAAGTGCTCACCCCTTATTTGCAAACTTGAGATTGTTAGCACAACAAATGCATACATTCACAAGTTTTATTATTAGCCACTACGTAATCCTATGTTGAGTGTTTATTAGTCTTTAACCAAACAGAAAAAAATGGTTCGTTAAAAATCAAAACAAATATGTAAAGATAATAATACACACACGTGGGCTCGAACTCACGTAACCAAGACTGCACACGTTTGCTTAACCACTACACTACCGTCAGGTACACTGAGATTGCTTCACAGCCTATATATTGTATTGCTAGATCAAGACGTACTGCGTCGGTCGGCCGATGACCTGTTTTCGACGTCTAAGGGAGGTCGGGATTGAACGTCATATCCACGTATATGGGAGGTCATTGTTTTACGTCCAGATGCGCACCTTGCACAGACGTCGTTTGGACGTAAATAAAAGGTCACGACCGACCGACGCGATATTGATGTGATCTGGAGGTTGAGTGGACGTCGGATGTTTAGTGGGAAGCAGAAGTGTTTTCATTGGCCCACCTTTCCATGTACCATAATGTTGAATCTCACACCGTACACTTTGAACAGCGATCGACGGACCTCGCCAGTATGAAGTTTGAAATAACGTGTATGTCTGTTTAAAGGGAGAGAAAGGGGAGAACAGCATTATTAATGATAATAATAATAATACATTTTCATTTTTTATGCACACATTACAAGTTACAAGTTTGTGTGGTTATGATGTTAGTGAGTACGACTGTCTAAACCAGGGTATCAAACTCATTTTGGTCAGAGGCCGATTAGAAAAAATAGGAACTGGTCGGGGGCCAAAACAATAGAAGAGATTTCCTTTTCTTATAAGAGTTTTTTACATTATGAAAGTATTTTAACATGACTTTAATGTGACATGAGTTTCACTGTTATTTTCTGGTTTATTTTTCAGTAGACAAAATGTGTTTATTGTTTAGATTGAACCAAATCAAAAAGTTAAAAAATAAAGGTAAACACATTTTATATTGAACTATTTAACTTTAATGATGTGTTATTGGGTTAAAATGTTAGCGTACATTAAATTTGGTTGTTTTCCAAAATCAATGTATCCCATTACCATTAATGCTGCTAGTTAATAATAATGAAAAATAATTTTAGGGGCCACTAAAAATGGTCTTGCAGACCAAATCTGGCCCCCGGGCCTTGACTTTGACACCCATGGTCTAAACAGATACGTTTTGAGGGTGGATTTGCGGTGTGAGAGTGAGTCTGTGTTACAGAGGTCAGGGCGGCTGAAGGCTCTGTTCCCCATGGTGACCAGGTGGGCAGGAGAGACTAGAAGGATGAGAGAGGAGGAGGAGCGGAGGGATTGGGCAGGTGTGGAGATCTGGAGGTCAGTCATGGAGGAGCGAGGATGTGGATGGCTTTGTATGTGAGGACACTCATATTGACCAACAAATTACATTTCATTAAAATATTCAGCAAGCAATGAATCATGAATTTAGTACCTAAAATTGAATCCGACAGTGATGCTCTCGTTGGAAACACTTGTGTCCAGGCGAGTGAAGAAGTATTGGGGATGGCATTGGGAGTAGCCTTTATCGAGATCACAGTCCCAGTCGATCATAATGCTAATGGAGCCACCCTGCACAAACACACTCCAACATTACTTACAGGATAGATACATCATTGAATAGCTGTTTTTTTTAACTCATTTCGATGTCAATTTCAGCGTTATTTGTATTGCACATTTACAACAACACCACAGTCCTTCACAGGCACAGGCTCGACTTAAAAATTAACTTTTGTGTTTCATAATAAATATTTTACGAGTCTTGTGAGTCACTATTTGATACTTTTGGCTGAGAGCTGATTGGCTGAGGTCTGAGCTCTCTTTTAATCTTCCTTCTGTATTGTTTGAGCATTATTATGATGTAAAACATTTCCCAGCCCAAAAGACTCGGTAACACAATCAAACTAATCATGTTTTGTACATAGGTGGCCATGTCTTGGAAGTTGTATCCTGCTCTCCTGGTGATGTCTCCAAGCCGAAAGATAGGACAGTACGGATGGACCTCCTCATCTAATCAACATTTCTTTAGGTACGATTTGTCACTAGTTTCTCTATTTGTCACTAGTTCTCGAACATTAGATCTAAAATACACAAAGATAAACACATTCAGTCCTTTGCAGACACTACAGAATTTAGGTGGATTAGAGATAAATAGGTTTGATTAGAATTTAGGGAAAAATTACTTTGCAAATGAAAATTTAGGAAACTGTATAAAATTCTTGATGTATATCGTAAAATTTTCAGCATTTTCCAGAAGTGCTTGCCTGCAACAAAAAAATATAAGAAGACTATTTACATTCATATACTGCAAATGTTTTTAGCAACTTTAAGCTTACTGTGGTTTGTATTTCTTCTCAACAGGACACCAGCCATAGATTTCACAAGTCCCAGTTGAATTCATATCTCCGCTTATGCAACGTCCACTCATCAGGCCTAAAAAAAATATGTATACATATAAAGGTATAGTTTTATTTTCATAGAGCTGGCCCTACTCGATAAACTAAACAGGGCCCCAGAATCACTAGAGGGCGCCACAAAAGCTTAAAAATGTGACATGGTACAACGCCAAATGCCAAATGTACAAAATTGAAACTGACTTGCATGCAACATTCAACTTTCACATTCAGTTTGAAGTATAGAGGATGAAAATGTAATGAAAAAACAAGTGCTTCTGATAAAATGTATTACATTTTAAATTTGAGTTGAGGAGGAGAGAGTATGGATATGATATCACACGGACAGAACCAGCACTGGACAAACAAGACGATGGTTTCAATCTAGACCACGAGGGACTTGATCAATGTGTTTGGTTTCACTGGACTCTGCAGACACAACTTGATGTGATTTGGGGGTGTTCAAGTGCAGTTGTTCCTCCTCAGAAAGGCGGGACAACTGCATAAAACGTGCAGAGCTGGGCTCACAATATTCAGGTTCATGTGAAAACACCTTAGAACTGGCACTGATTTCCGTATTTAACGATTACTTACCATTTCCAGCAACAACTGTGAGTCCTTCTCTACAGTCTTTATCAGAATGACAGTGACCGTCCACAACTGTTGAGCTCTGAGATATAAAAATATGTATCATAACAGAAAATATACAAAGAAAGGTATTACTACTTGAAAATGCTAAAAGTACTATGTACTGTTGACTCTAAAGAAGAGGATATGAAGGAACAGGTTCACAGTAACCAACAAACTGAGAGATTCATGAGTTCTTTGGTCTTTTCGTTTGAAGCAGAAATATCATATTTGTCTTTGGACAAACAAAATGCATCACTAGTTGTACACTGACTTACATTTGACTACAGGGTACTTTAGTGGCCAAAGTTAGACAAGACATTTGATTAAAAAAGTGTGAATGTGAATTAGCCTCAAATATGCAGAAAAGAAAGAACTGCCATCACTCAGCCGCTCAGCCAATCAGCACTCAGCCCAAAGCGTCAAACATTGACTAAACAGGGACTTTATGCAAAAGATAACATGTTTTCAAAGAAGAAAAAGACAGCATGCTGTGGTTGGATTTGCTCTCCGCATGTTATATTTGGAAACCAACCTGTTGGAACAGGTAACATGTACTGTATGTTAGAATAGTGTTTAGCTGCATGAATAGCAATATACTGCTTGTCATGTGCCATTTTCTGTCTTCTGTCGGTGCACACAGAGTACCTTTTTTGCAAATGTATTCCAATGTAGTTTTTATACTGCACATGGCTAATAAAATGAATCTGAATCTGAATCTAAATCTGATTATTCTCTCTACAACCAACTCTCTAACTCTTATGCCCTGGTATTCAATTCACAACAGTAGTTATCGCGGATGACTTAACAAAGTTGTCGATTCACTAACACCGATCAGAGAATCAAATAGTTCAACTTCAAACACATGAAATGTAATGATAAAAAACACATAGAGCCATTGGGCCAGGGGCAGAGACCAATGCCCATAAATGTTTATAGGTGACCCACCTGCTGGTATTGTGATTCATGTTTAGTTTATATCTGTGACTCAAGAGTGTTATTTTCTAAGGGCAGCCCCATTAGAGGCAGTGAAGAAGGCTGTGTATGGAGCCATGCTTTATGGGCTGTTTGGATGAGCTGTTCATACATCTCACATGCAGCAGAATGGGTGACCATAAGAGGAAAGGTTTATTTAGTGTACCATTGTTACATCATATTTAAACATTGTCAGAACAGGAAGAAACAATTAGACTGGATAGAGTGGATTTTTTACCACACGTCAGAGGTACAAATATAATCTGTATTTACTTACCTCAGCACAGTATCCAAGCCCCTGGTTTGGAGTCTCCAGGAAATTGGTCACAACAAACAGAACAGCCTCCCCCTGGAAAAAAAAACAATAATGTACAATAATTATTGAAAGTGAATAGTTTTAAATCGTTTTTTTCCCCCTCAAATCTTATATAAACATGGGAAAGAAACAGTTGCATGGTGATTCATACATTTTTAAGACTGGCAAAATACAAAAGGATTGTGAAAGGACCCAATGCTTATTAGAAATGTCCTCTTAATATGTGAGATTTTTTTTCTTCCCAAACAAAAGAACAAATAATTCAACTAAAAATATACAGTTATTTGCCAACAGGACTGACATTTTGTAATCTAAGCAACTAATTGAAAAGGTTATTGTTCTGTTCATGTATTCTTACACCAGCGGTACTTTTACCTGTGGAGGGATGACATAATCCTCAGGACCCCACACCAGGACCCCAGACTCAGTCGTGTTCGTGACTGAGACGCCTTTGAGCTTCGTGATGACTGAACTCTGGATTGCCTCGTCCGTTTCCTGGTAGCCCTTCTTATTCACAAACACCCACCTGTCTCACAAAATACTTTTCATGAGTAGAATGACTGATTAAATGATTATTTCTTGGGCCAATCTAAATGTTATTGTATTGCCTGGAATGTTCCAAACGATATGGCTTTACATTTTCCATCTACATTTGAGACAAGCTTTAGTGTCATCTTCTCTATCTGCAGAGAGGAGAGCCGGGTGTAAAACATCTGTATTTAAATAATGTGAATGACGTTTTATATCATAGTGAGGAACAATATCTCCATGGAAGGGCTCCCATTATTCTTTCATTACTTAAAAAATAATTTAAAAGACAACCGTTTGCCTCAAATAAAATTTTCTACAAATAAAAACACCAAAGAATAGAAAAAAATTACATTCCGTGAAGTATGTTAGCAGTTTTGGGATGGAATCTAAATATAAAGGGAAGTACTGGTTTGGCGTTTAGACTGTATGAACTGAGGGAATTAGTCTTTTTTAAGTAACTTAGATTTTAAAAAGCCAAATAGGAAATGACAAAACGTACGCTGATCAATCCAAAATTCTTGACTTGATGAAATAAGTTCTTATTTTTTCCTTATAGCACAAACATTTAGTGTGAAAACAGTCCTCATTAAATTATATGAGTTGAAAAATAAACTTACCCAATGATGTATCCAATAATTGTAAGCTGGATGAGCCTGTACAAAACACCAACTTTTTTATTTTTGGCTACTATATATTTTTCAGTTTTATAATCGCATAAAGAGAGGAGACGTGCCTTGGAGCAGCTCCCTGCCATCACTGAGTCTGAGCCAGAGCCTTCTCCTTTTGTGGATGAGACGGAAGTTCGGAGCTCAGTGTGAAAAATCTAAGGGCACTACTGTACATTGTGGCATTAGAAGTACATATCTATGGGATTTAGGGCACACCATTGGTCAACTGGACTTGGGGAAGGAAGAAGTGAGCTAACTTTACACTTGGACTCCCATAATTATGGAGCTACTATAACTCCCAGAGCCGTTGTTTTGACCCATTCAAACCAATGGAATTCTGTTTTTTTACAAGTTTTATTTATAGTAATGTAAAAAATTTTTACCTTCACTCACTTTTACATATGCTAAAACCACTGGTAAATATAACTTGGAAAACAGCAAAAACAGTTTGTTGAAAGGCTAATGCTAAAGACCAAATGAAAACTGCCATAGACAGAAAGCAAAGTAAATTTAAAAAATAAGAGATTTTTTTTTTGTTTTTTTGTTTTTTAAATGACATAGAAATAAACTACACATAGAAACAGAAGTTAGGAAGATAAAAAAGGTACATATGGTTTATATTTGATTTAAAACTATACACTTCAAAACTCTGTTCTTACTGCCAGCAGTTTTCATTTGGTCTTTAGCATTAGCCTTTCAACAAACTGTTTTATTTACCAGTGGTTTTAGCATACTGCCAGCAGTTGGTAACCAGCACTCGCTCTTCTCTGGAGGAGAATGAAGCTGAACCAGTTCAGAACCAGAACCAGTAACCAGTTAAACCAGACTTTAACTGCCATAAATGACATAGAAATAAACTACACATAGAAACAGAAGTTAGGGAGATAAAAAATGCACATATGGTTTATATTTGATTTAAACTATTCACTTCTAAACCCTGTTTTACTTGGGACGAACTGTGAACACACTCTTCGAGAGTGAGTGGGACCCTTTATGTTGAAACTTTATCAAACTTACTCTATTAACAACTAAATCCCAAATGAAAAAGGGGTCAGAAGCACATATAGTATACATTTACACTTAAATAGCTGCTAATAGACACATTCCCTCCTCTGAAACAGCATGATCAAAAATATGAATTTATGTTGGATTGATTTGTACTCACCATTGGGCAGGAAGTGGTCTGAATCCTTTCTGAAGCACATCATAGATTTTCTTCACATCTATATCTGTGTTTCAAAGGGCTGCATGATACCACATAAGGCCCACACAGTAAATGTTGAGGTTGATTTTCAGTCAGCTCATGTGAAACTCTCCACTGTCTCTGCACTGGGGCAGTCTCCCATGATGCTTTGTGGTTCACTTAAGACAGTACTCACACTTTTTCACACATTGTGCAGCATGATGCGGAACGTGAGCAGGTGTGTGGTCCTCTTCACCTTGTGGTTCAGCTGTTCCTCTGCCCGTGGTGAGTCCAGTTACTGTTCCTGCAAATGTGCTTGAATGTGTAAAGTTATATTGATTATTAACTTCACCAAAGTATAGTCTGAGTACAGCAAACGCTATAGATTTACAGTAGTTTCACATCTACTGTCACAAACCATGACAGAGAGTTAAGCAAACTTATACATCACAAACTATTACAAAACATTTTTACTATTGTTGTAAAAAGTACTGTTTACAAGAAATGTCTTCAATTTGGGTTCTCCAATTGAATAAATTATGTATTAAAAAAAGTTAATTTATTGGTGCACCTTTTTTCTGTTCTGCTCTATAAGATTTTTCTGGAAAGTTGATGTGATAAAATGTATTCCTAAAAAAGATGAAAGAATATTCGCCATGCAATTAATAAAAAATCCACAAAATCAGGAAAGATTGTTCGACCACATCATATTATAACCCACTATGAATACTATAACCCAGTGTTCCCACTTATATTTAGAGTAGACTAACCAGTCACTATAGAGGTGAAAGCTACAAGGCTAATTGTTTATCACAGACTTTCAAAGTTTGAGAGTATTTTCTTTCTATTTAGATGCTATTCAGATTGAAAATCACAATCAGAGCTGTGTGACCCATCATCTGAGCATCGTGCCGGGCTCTTCTGTGCTCCTGCCCTGCAACTTCACCTACAACCCCCACAATGTCGTCTCCTGGATCCACGTTCCCACCGTCTCTGTGGTAACCATCACTTCAGGAGGGCAAGTAAAGTTCGGGGACCCCAGATTTGGACGTATACACACGTTTCCAAACCAGGGCTCACGGGGAAACTTCTCCATCTCCATCAGCCGTGTCAACTTCACCGACCTGGGCTCCTACCAATGTCTGATGCAGGATCAATGTGTGCAAGTGGAGCTGGCTCTCAAGACAGGTCATTCATATTCAAAGGCAAAATATGAGATCACATGTGTCAACCCCTATTGATGGTCATATGTTAATGCTATGTTTTACCCAAATACATCCATGGTTAAAACTAATTTGAATGCTAATTTTCAAAAGAAAACTATTTAATTTAATATATTCTAACATTTTAACCCAAAGCATAATTTGGTTTGACACTCCTGAAAGCATAGCAGTCAGCTGGTCTTTCTGAGCCAAATCAATTACCACATAATAAACAAGCTACATATATGCTTACAACTAAGATTAATAAAAATTTAGTCCATGCATAAATGTAATAAAATGTAGCAAAAAAAATGTAAATTATTATTCTATTTAGGTTTTTTTTGGCATGTTTAAAGACGGTTTAAAATCCAAACATGAATTACATTATTAGCTTATATATGTGCAGCTATTCAACTCAGATAAGCAATGATATTTGGATAATAGCACTTTTTGAAGCCTACCCCCACATAAAACATTAATGTCGCTATCAGGAGATAAAACAGGTGGAAGGTATTTCAAAGATAAAAGGCTGAATGTGTTTAGATGGAAACTTACAGAATAAACTTTTCTACAGGATAAACTGTTACAGAATAGGTGCTCTGATGAGGTTTGTTTGACCCAAGAGCCGGAGTTTCCTGTCAGATGCGTTGCTCTGAAGCCACAATGTGTTTTTCAATTGTTGCAGAGTCTGTTGTCTGGTTGTCTCCGTTTTACATGTACATAATCTGTGGTGTTTCCGCATTCGTTGTTCTGAGCGTGGGCTGCTTCCTCTGTGTCTACTATATTTGTAAGTACTTTTAATTTCTTAAAATGTGATGCACTTTGTCTTGAAATGTGTGTTTTGCATGTTCCAGTTAAGGAAAAGAGAACAACGGAGGAAAATGGCTATGAAAACCAAGTTGATGATGGTGAGAGTTTATTATTATGAATGGGTAGGTATGTAACTGGCTTCCTCCATTAAACACATGTTCAGTTACATTCCACCATTTGCATCTTTTAGTTCTCTAACTATAACTAGTTTTTTTATTGTAGGGGAAAACTTTGATAATAAATAAATGTCAGTTACTTTTCCAACTGAGAAGAAAGAGTAAAATATTTTTAAGACAAGCACAGGTTAGATCCGCCCATGCTCACCCCGCAGCTTCCCCATGGGCGGCACGATGGCTGAGTGGATAGCACTCTCGTCTCAGCAAGAAGGTCCTGGTCGGACCAGGGCCTATCTGAGTGGAATTTGCATGTTCTCCCTGTGTCTGCGTAGGTTTCCTGCGGGTGCTTCGGTTTCCCCTACCACAAAAAATATGTACAATAGGTCTGGCATGTGCCTCCTGTTCTGGTAACCCTGCTCCCATCTTTGTGTGGAGTGAGTGGACAAATGCCAAAAATAACAATTGTAAACCGCTTTGTGACTCTGGTCTGTGAAAGGCGGTATATAAATAAAGATTACTTACTTACATACTTCCTGATTGGATGAAATGTGTTCAAATCCTTGAGGCCTCTCTTCATGGGTTTAACCATTCTACTGTAGCAAATCTTACTGGTGGTGGCTATGTTGATGAGAGGAACAGTTTAAGATATATTACTGATTTTACATGATAATACAGTGCTCCATGGTCATTTTTTTAATTTTTATGAAATACATCGGAAGTGGCTAACATCACCTTCAAATGAAGTAAAACTGCTGCTGCTTCACATTTGGTTCATAAAGTCTTTTTAGATATAAAAATGTTGACTTTGACATGACTGACAAGATTTTGCATCAGGAATTGTATATCTAACTGAACACAGGTTTTTATTTTGTGATTTAGATTCCAAACTTGAGGTCTGTCTGTTATATGTTCAGTTCTAGTGACTGGGAGAGAGCCTGGAGATGGACAGCCACAAGACGCAGACTCACCAAGATCTCGTTTGTGTCACTTTAAATCAATAACAAATAATATTTATAAATATTTATATATACAATCTGGTTTAAATATAGTCATCTTTCTGTTTTAGCTGCATACATGAACCAAATTGTCTATGGTAAGTGTTTTTCACAAAAATTTGACAAAACATTTGCAAAAATGTACTGGCAATCTCTCATATAATTGTTATAATAAGTGTACATCCACGATTGCCATTAATTTCCATATCTGTCTATTGTATTGTTTTTATTTTTTATTCAGAAAATAATGATTATATTGTGGATGAACCGGATTATCTAAATCAACTACCGAGGCATAGTGGATTAAACGGAGATGAAGCCAGCCCCAACAGTGATGGTCCTTTTGAAAGAGTGATGAGTCAAAAATCCAAGCAAAAATTTCATTCTGGTAAATCATATTTTATTTTTACAGGTTTTTTTTTATTTCAAGTTTACAAATATTCTGTGTTCCGTTCTTTTAGAGCTTTTAAACAGATTACGTCAGGCAAGTCTCCGCAAACACCATTATGGTAAGAACAGATTGTATGTTTTCTAATAATAAGTGAATTCATAATTGAGTTGTCTTTCAGTAAATCAAGAAGAACTCCGCACGCAGCAGAAAACCAGGTCAACTAAAGGTACATGCCATTAAAATCTAAAAAATTTAAATAACAGAATTTCTAGATAGTTTTCTTGACACCATGACTTAATTTTGAACAGGAGCCAGAAAGAAAAAAACTCGTAAGTACGTTAGAGTTGGATTCAATCACACTCAGATCAATTATAACTTAATCTTTTTTGTCTTTTTTTGTAGATCCTCAGTATCCAAATCCAATATATAATGGAAGCAGCAATGCACTTGACCAAATGTAGATGCAAATCATGTCACAGGTTCATTTACTTTATAATTAAAATGATGTTATTCATATACGAACTGTAAATTATTACACATTTGCCGTATTAAGGTGAAAGTACAGTCACATAATTTATGTAAAGGTTGTTAGTTATCCAGCTCCAGTTTCTTTGGTAAAATCCTTTGGTTTAATAATCAGAGCTGGAAAAGCTCTATGTATGTGTGCTTAACATAAGACTTTGGCAAAGGTTTGTGTGGTAGCGATATAAATACAGTAAGAGTACAAACTACAAAAAAATCTAAACTCTGGGACAAAACAAAATGGTGACAAAGACAAATGTACAGTAAACTGAATGCAACACTAGAGCTGGTTGCATTACAGCTACTAGTAAATCTGAATCATTACTTAGAACCCTAATGTGTACTGCCCCACAGCGTGATCCTTTTCTTCCCAAAAAGTACAATTAAAATGTAAAATCCAGCAAAACGTGTTTAGAAATGTGCAATCCTTAAAGTTTAAAATACATGTAGTGTAAATGTCAATCTTGTGGTTGTTAATCACCAGGTGAGCAGCGCTGAACAAGCTTCCAATACTTCACAATAGTGATGTGCGATTCGTGAACGAATCGTTCAAAACTCGAGATTCACTTTACTGACTCGGGAGTCGTGATTCCCCGCCTCCATTAACTCGTTCACCAACTCGTCCGCCCACCACTTTCTAAACTGCAGCCCCCAGACTGCGTTTTCTACTAGCCACAATGAATGACACTCTAATATTACGTGTGTGACTGTGTGTGTGTGTACTGTAGCTCGTTTGAGCACAGAAACCAAAAGCTTATTGTTTACAACCATCTACTTCACCGTAACGTCCTCCTTCCTGCCTGCCCGCGCCTGCTAGTACGAGCCGTACGAGCAGTGAACGACTCACTGTGGTTCTGGATCAGCCCCTTCCCGCTCCCCTTCGAGTCGTTCAGCTCTGAACGAATCGTTCATCTGATCTGACTCACTCACTCACTCAGCATCAAGCGAGTCGAAACAACAGGACAGGACACAGACTCGTCTCGTAACTCTCGTTCTCTAACTGGGTTGAAAAAAGTAGTTTCTTTTGCCCCATCTGACAAAAAATAATAACCCTCTACATGTATTATGTGAGGTAGATTGAAAAATATAATTGGCTATTTATTAAGTTATTTGTTCAGCTGTGTTTCTCTCGTCGGACAACAGGAGTTCCGCCTCGAACATTATTGGCGTTACAATGATTGTCATCAATAAAAAATGAATGTGTGAAAAATCAAAGTTGTTTGTATTTATTATTTATATAATATAATTGTTATGACCTTTTTTTTTTTTTTTACCAGGAATGTAGGTTTTAACACGGAATACATTTATGTAACACCACATTTTTGGCGGAAAGTTTTAAATATTTTTATAGAAAATGGATAGTAGCCGCAGAAGAAGCGATATTTGGATGCACTTTGAAATAACAGGCCCATCACGAGCAAAATGTCAACTCTGTTCGTGTTATTGTATTTCTTGTATTGTGACAGCCCCTCGCTTGGAATGTTGCTGCTTTGTTCACAATTTTACTGTTGAATTGTTAAATTTAAAGAGTTTATATTTTGTCAAATTAGTTTACATATTTGTTATTGTTACCATTTATCAAATTTTAATAAATGTTTTGATTGTAAATTGCCATTTTGTGTTCATGTATGTTTTTTTCTGAACAACTGAATCACTGAATCAAATGACTCAAAACACCCGATTCACTTTGGTGAGTGATTCACTTTAACTCGAGTCAGTAAAATGAATCGAACTTTACATCACTACTTCACAATCATCTTTCTTTTTTAAAAGAAATGAGGAACCAGGAAGTTGCATTTCCATATCGTCAATATAATAAAAAAATATATTGAAAATCCATTTATATACTTATAATTATATAACAGGTGGTTACGTTTGAAATGGTTTCCCTATCAACTCCAGATGTAGATTTAATTGTGTGATGTGAATCAGAAAATGGTTAAAAGCAACTAATCAAAATATTCCTTCTTACCATTCAATGACAGTTAATGTATTCATAATGATACAAAAGGTGCCAAATATAGTGTTTTAAAAAGTCTACAATCATTTGCCTTTTATCAATTCAACACAGAAAATACTGCTTAACTATCTCAGTAAAGGGAGATGGGATAGTTTCAGTAGTTTTCATCTGAAGGCTGTGTGGACATTTCTGTAAAGCTCAAATTGACAGGTTGCTGAGCTCTGCTGATGTCTGTGACCTGGAAGTTCAAGCAGCTGTGACGAAATTCAACACAGAACGTTCCGATGAAGAGGAGGAACATCATCACGAGGGACCACTGCCCGCGAGCTGCATGCATATGTAGACCCACGGCCATTAAAGTGGTATCTAAACATGGGTTAAGTTCAACAGAAACTTATATGGAATACATGTAAATTCTCATGTCATGTTCTGAAACACAGAATCCACCTTTCATAATGTTGCATTTTCCTAAAGCTATTGAGTGAATTAGTTGTGTCGATAAGTGCTGCAACAGCTGTGTTGCTTTTTCAACAGAAGTAGTCTATTTTGTGATTACCAACAGCATAACATGCAAACATAAAAGGATGCACATGGCAAAGCAGAGAATTCTTAACATTCGGATTTAAGTGTGCCAGACTTAAAAGACTTTCCTTGCTTCATAGATAGATGCACAACTTAAGACCAATTAATAAAAATATGAATCAAAAAGTGGAAGGATACACATGATGAAGCTGAGGGTGATGCCGCCTGACAGGAGGAAACGGAGAATACTTGTTTTGAATCCCTCTTTTCTAAGGTTCACATTCAGCGTGAGGTAGGACTGTATCCAACAGAAGAGCGTGCCCAGGCCGAACGTCAACAGGGTGCCAAAGTTGTGAATTCCTTCCTCGACAAACAACTACAGGACAAGTAAAAACAACATCAATGAAAATCAAATCAATATCGTCCAGAAACAGATAAAGCAGAAGAAAATGGATGGATGAATGGATTTACCAGACAGTAATTATTACAAATTATAATTGTTTATGACATTACTTGGAAGTTTCCAACAAGTGTCATGCCAAAGCAGGCGCTGGAGAAAGTAAAGAGGCAGATTATGTTCAACCACGACTTATTCAAAGAGTTCTTGAGCTGCAAGTATCGGAAAAGACCAATGAAGAACCCTGAGGAGGATAGAACAAAATCAATCACCAATCTCTTTATAATCCCATATTATGTAATGTTTACCTACGAATGCTCCCAGATTCATGATTTGACTGAAGAGGCAGCTGGCAGGTGGGGAGTTTCCAGCAATACTATAATAATAAAAATATAAATAATTAAATGTTATAAATAAAAGGGCTGCATCTACATCTTATATGTACTTTTGACAAAACCTTCTTAAAAGTAGTTTTAAAATAAACAATTACGATTCATATCTAAAACAGAAAAGGGTATTGGCATAAAAAATACACTTTAATTTAGTGCAAAATTAAGTGTGTCGTTCTGAAATCATAAACAAACATTCAATACAAATTTGAGTGTTTATGTGAAATAATACAAACCTTATATAAGGAGGACGTGCACTTTGGTTTGGTCTATATATGGTAAATGGACATAAACAAAACAATATGGTTAGAATGTTTCAAACAAAACTAAGTCAAACTTCTTCACACTTACACATAATGTGAGGACATGAGGGGTACAATTTGACCATGTGTTTCAGCAGCAAAGTATCTGTAAATAAAGATGACAGAGTTTGTGTATTAAACGTAAAACAATCTATTAAAAAAATGTACATTGTGTGTGGTGTGTTTAAATGATTACACACACACCATACAATACTTACACCACAATGAGGCCAGCAGCAACTCCAGTGGAAAATAAAAGAGGCAAGAAAGCCCATGGGCTCCACCTTTTTATTCTGCCAATACATCTAAACAGAACAAGATATACAGTGAATTTGGCAAGGAAAGTTTATAGAAGTTCACACACAAGGCAACTCAAAGTGATTAAAAAACAAAGACATTAAAATCTTAAATAACTGTTTTTTAACCTGGATTTTATCATTGTCAGATGAGAAGCCTGAGAGAAATGTATGGATAAGTATCTCCACTATATCTTTTTATTCTGCCAATGATTTTTAGATGGTAAAAATTATACATAACATTTCAGATGTTACTGATTTGAAGTGGCTGTTAGTGGTTACATTTAATTCTGAGTCCATTATTACCTCTTGATTTCTGAAAGTTTTCACAGATACGTACTGAAGTTAAGGTTGATAAAGCAATAAACAATTTTGTCTCTTTGATTCTTTGGATAAATTACAGTTTTGAACAGAAGAGGCTAAATTGAAAGTGGCGACACCATCACCAAGTTTAGGTTTCACTTCAAGGAAAAGGAAACTAGCTAATTAAACCTACAAGAAACGAGTCAGGTAAATATGCAATTGATTTGTTCGCAAGACTACAGCATTATATTTACCTTTCCATCGCAGTCTTTAATTGACAAGTTGCTGCATTAACTAGTGATGTGCTGAGCGGACCGAGTCTTCGAAGCGTGGACCGAGTAATCTGGGGGCGTTTCTTGTGAAGTGTGGGTCGAGGCGTGTATTGGTCACGTGTGTGGTGACGTTCGAAGCCTCGCGTAGCGGCCGCACCACGTGACGGTCATGAGAATGAGGGGTCACGTGATAATTTGGGCGGGGTCTAATCCGGTCGGCCATGTTGATAGGATCCTCCATCGGTTGCCAGGGGCAACGCCACTAACGCTAACGCTCCAGAGGTCTTTAAATTGAGCACGTTTATTATTTCGGCAGTAGATACATCTACGATTACAACACTAGCAAGACAGTTAATGGAGAAAGTGAAGGCGAAAGGAAATGGACCGTACAGGGAAAAGCTTCTACCCACGGCAAAACAACGTTATTTGGAGAAGCTCTCAGACATACAACAGGTAGACCCATACGAGCTTCCTGCAGCGGAGTGGCAAAAAGACCTTGACTTTTTGCCTCCGTGCACGTACATGGATATAGTGAATTACCTTGTTTTCGGTGTTAGTTATTACACAATGCAGGAGTTTAGAAGTCACAAGTCACTGGAGAGTTACGAGGCTTTCTGCTGTGGTTGGGTGCAGGACTTGGCCATCTACAAGCCTCCAGGCGGTGAAAACACCGTTGTACTTGCAAAGGTAAGTTTTCATAACATGCGTTTTTGTGTGCTGTAATTACATTGCATTTAGCACACATTTCTTGACCATAATGACGTGTGTCATTAGATAGTTAGATAGTTAGCTAGGCAGCTAACTTAAGATGCACTTCAGTGTTTGCAACATTAACAGCTAGGTAACCTACACTTCTTAACTTTAAAAAAACAACATGAAGACATTTTAGGACGTACCCGAGTGAAAATGCAGAGAACACACTCTCATCGACTGGGGGTGAGATCGAAAGTAAGGTCCTTTCTTCTTATTGCAGCCAACCAAGCCATCCGGCGTCTCTTCGTCAGGTCAGACACCTGCGCTCCCTGATGTTGTATCCATTTTGGTGGCCTAAACAATTGTAAACCGTTGTTCCTACGTTTTCCTTTCTTATTGTGTGAGGTACTGGGGCAGTTTTTCACACAGCAATGAGCTCCAGGCATGGTAAAACAGAAATAGCGACGACCTCCTTTGCTACCGAGTTAACAACAACAAGTGTTTGCCGCTGGGTGGGATCCTACCAACATGGCGGAGACGGGGAGGGGCTCTGTGCTATGACGTCAGCTCCGCACTCTCAATAGTGCTTCAAAACTACTTCATATGAAATACAATTAAAAACTTTTCACTTTAGTAAAACCTCATATATCAAGGCTTCAAGTTATGAGTAATAATACGCTGGATAATACATTTCATAACAGCTGTGTGGCGCAGTCGGTACATGCAGAAGATATAGCGTTCGAATCCTGGTCTACCCATAATACATTTTGTGTTGCAAAGTAAATGTATTTATTTATTGGGAATAAATGGTTTGTTGTGTTTAATCAATCCACCTCTTGGTAGTTTTTCCTCCATTAATCACTTTCTGTAGAACTGTATTACTTTGGATGTGTTTGTTGTATCAACACAATTGACTGAAAGACTCAAATAGTTCATAGTTCATGAAGCATCATTTCAAACACAACACGTTAGACCATAGATTGTAAATATACATTTTAACATTAGATCTCACCATTCATTGTAAGCACTTAAGAGTGTTATGTATTTTTTTGTCCACATGATGGCGTAGTGGAGCATGATTCACCTCGAGCCTTCGACTCATGGGCCGAGTAATAGGCTGCGATCCCTCAAGGCTTCATGGGGCTTCATATTGCCATCACTAGCATTAACTGGGATGTGTGAATGTCTTGTGTGAGTGAGCGTAGTCGGTATTATTATGAGCTTCGTACAGTAGTGAACTTTCAAAATAAAATTACCTTTTGACTTTCCATTTGAGTAACGCAAAAATATAACTTAAAAAAGGTTTACCGTATTTTTATCTATTTCTAATAAGTGCACACATACATTTGCATGCGTTTTTTCACGGTTTGTCCAATGAACAAACACTGAGTATTTTATTGTGACGGGTGTTTGTCGCAGGGGGATCACAGTTGGACCAATGAGATCTCAGACTTAAGAGTTTGCGGAAGTATGCGGTCGCTCGTGTGTTTTGAATGTTTCAAAGCAAATTATTAGCTAATTATACATTCTCGACGATATAAACGGTATTTTTACAACTGATAATTGTTGCGCTTTTCTTTAAGCTGTAAGAATTATGTCTAAATCAAGTAGATCGGATTGTAAAGAAAGTGACTCTGAACCGCTGCCCATTTATCATCACAAGTCCAAACTGGTTCGAGCTGTGAAAGACAGTGCATTTTTAGTTGTGACTGGGGAGACTGGCTGCGGGAAAACCACACAGCTTCCCCAATATCTGTATGAAGCAGGTACCTACTTTAACACTTCTTGAGTAACTTTTATCGATGCTTTGTTTTACATACGTTTTACAATGCACTTCTCTTTTCTTGCATCCTGTGAAGTGAATTATTAAGATGTATTTGAAGTAACTCATAGACTGATTGTGGACTTAATGTGTACACATAAATGTACTGTATCTAACCTAGCTAGAGTACCAAATGTCTTTTTTTCATTGTTTATCATACATACATGCAGAAAGAGTCTTGTATAAATATGTGTCTACATTCATGTCTACATATTTCATACTTGGCTGAGAACTGATTGAGGGTTGTCCTCTTTAATTTTTTCAAAAATGAGAGCTGGTATGCGAATTATCACTAGTATAATTGTGTTTTGTTATGTTTTTAGGGTTTTGTAAGAATGGTAAAATTGGTATCACTCAACCTCGCCGTGTTGCTGCCATCACAGTGGCACAGAGGGTGGCCCACGAGATGAGGCTCACTCTTGGAAAGGAAGTCGGTTATCAGGTCCGCTTTGACGACTGCACAACCGAAGTGAGTGAGACTAATGTGAAATCATTCAACACTATGTGTTGGATAGACTACACATTATATTGTATTAATAACTTATACCTTATTTTGTTATTCTTTATATATTCTTTTATATGATGGAGTGATGCTTTAGAAGTAATGCTTTTCTCCAACATTTGTTACAAGCAGTGTTGGGAGTAAAGTAAGGTAATTACTGTAATGTATGGCATTACAAATCACAAACCGGGTAATATTTACTCAGTACAATGGTCAGTAATGTGCATTACATTGCATTATAAAGGAGCAGTAAGTAAAAGTGGTTCTGCAACCTCTCCCACTCTCCCTGACGCAAGTTGCCAGAGTTATTCAGACAAATCCAGCTGGGATCATAATAGCTGAATAGACAAGAGTTTTGTCAAGAACAAATCTATAACAAACCTCGTTTTATTCCTTGTTTTATTCCTTTTTAAGTACCGCGGTCACATGTTACTTTACCAGTGAGATTAACTCGACGTGGTGAGTTCTGGCAGCCCAGATCACAGACTTTCTAATTGGTGAAACGGTGGAGGGCGGGAAAACAATAACAAGATTGAAAGGCTGTATAACAAATTTTGGAATTCAAATATCTCGGCTGAACTACTGATAACAGTTACAGAAGTATTTCAAATTATTATTTGAAATTGAGCTATACAAATAAACTTGCCTTGCCTTTAAAAAGAGCATGGTTTAATAATGCTTTTTGACATATTAGGACCAATTAATGATGACTTGACATGAAAATCTTACATATTGCCACTTTAACTCCCCCCTCTTTTGCTCAGCGGTTGGTGTTTGTGAAAAAGCAGAGACATGCAGTGCATGGATAGATGAGACTTTAAGCTCTGGTTTGATATTTAAAGCGTCCAAAAAGAGTCAATATTAATATCAGAGATATGAACCTGCCAAAGAGTCCTGTTTGAGACAGTGGCAGACACTAAGGGTGGAAAATACGTGAGTAATGCATTACAATTCAGAGACAGTCATTTGGAAATAACAGTAATAAGTAATACAGTATTACGTTTTTGAAGTACATTGCCCAACACTGGTCACAAGCTAGACTAATATAAAAATATTAGAATGTTTATATTAGAAAAATGTATCACATATTCTGTCCCACCAAACAAAGTAAGGGAGAAAGTAACATAGCAAACACTCACAAGGTCAAAATGAACATCTTTGCTATAATCTGGTACATGCATCTCTCCTTTTGTGTTAATGCTTAACTGTACACTGTCCCTGTTCAAATAAAGTACATACAATACAATACAATGCTTGTGAAACACAATGCTCAGATGATGGATATGAAACAGGAAACAGAGGTGAAATACATGACAGACGGCTGCCTTCTCCGTGAGGTCCTGGCCGACCCGGCTCTTTCCCACTACAGTGTTATAGTCCTGGATGAGGTTCATGAGCGCAGCCTCAACACAGTTAGTCACAGTTGGACTATTATGTCATTTTATAATATTCAGAAATGACGTGTTGTTAAAATGTTTTCTTTGTGTTTAGGATATTCTACTGGGTTTATTAAAAAAAGTTTTCTCTAACCCTGATAAAGCCAGTGAGGGGCGTCGTCAGCCGCTCAAGGTGGTGGTGATGTCTGCCACAATGGAAACAGAAAAACTCTCTGCCTTTCTTGGCAATTGTCCTGTTTTTGTTATTCCAGGAAGGACATTTCCTGTCAAATGTTCTTTTGGCTCAGCTGTCGGGCCTAAAGACACAGAGAGCTCTGGTTATGTTAAAGAGGTACCACATTAACTAACAAGTAAAAAAATATGTGCACTATTATTGAGAAGATAATGAAAACATTCATAGTAACTAATTGAATGAAGTTTGCTTAATTTTTTGTTGATTTCAGGTGGTACGAGTTGCTCTTGATGTACATACCAGTGAAATGGCTGGAGATATTCTCATATTTCTAACAGGTGGACCTCCATATACTTTACCTCAGTACAAAGCACATACATTCTGCTTATTGAAACAAATTATGATTATTATGATATATTTTGACAGGACAGAATGAGATTGAGCGAGCTTGTGACATTCTCTATGAGAAAGCAGAGACAATAGATTATCGTTTTGATGTACACGACCAAACGGTAGAGGGCCTTCTTATCTTGCCTCTTTATGGTTCCATGCCAACAGGTAAATACCATACAATATAATATAAATATTTACACATGTGAGGGATTGTGGATCATTATTCCAATAGATATGAACTAAATAAGAATATAATTACTATGTCATATGCTCATAGATCAGCAAAGACAGATTTTTCAGCCTTCCAGCCGAGGAATCAGGAAATGTGTTGTAGCCACAAATATTGCTGCAACATCTTTGACCATTACTGGCATCAAGTATGTTTCTCAAAACCTTTTTTTTTTTTTAAATGTATATTATTAACTATGACTGGCAACTCTAATTTAAGTTGTACCACAGATATATTATTGACAGTGGATTCGTAAAGCAACTTAATCACAACTCAAGAATTGGCCTGGACATTCTGGAAGTGGTGCCCATCTCAAAGTAAGGGCCTTTTTATCTTATTGGATATTTGAGAAAAAGACTTTAAAAATATTTGCACTTTTCTCTCTGTGATTTGTGATAGACGTTAATAAAAAAAAATCATTCACCTGGAAACTAGGAATAGAACCCAAAATGTAATATGACTTCTGGGTTGTCAAAACATGTCTACGCTTTCGTTGATGAATATTAACTTTGAAATATATCCATCATTTGTAGCCCTTGTTTTAACTACATTTATATTCTAAGAACTCTCATCAGAAGAGATTTAAGAATTTAAGATTTTAGGATTTTGTGTCGTTAGGAGTGAAGCGCAGCAGAGAGCAGGCCGTGCTGGAAGGACCTCAGCGGGAAAATGCTTTCGAATCTACAACAACGATTTCTGGGAAAAATGTATGCCTGAATACACCGTCCCAGAGATTCAGAGAACCAGCCTCACCGGAGTCGTTCTCACACTGAAATGCCTTGGTGTCCATGATGTCATTCGGTTAGTGGGTGTTTTATTGCAATAGTTCCTATTTTTTTCAACAATTTTAAACAATATTGCGACTGAGAATATTGGGCTCACTTTAATTTAGCGTTTTATTATGGATGTCATTATTTTATAATACTATTTATCAAATATAAAACCTCAATAGCAATTATACAAGGAAATAAATAATTGCCAAAGTTGCAGCATTGCTTAATGATCTCCTGAATCCCGGACACTTTCTATACAGCAACTTGGCTTCCCACAAAGGTTTACCTAATTTTTTTCTGACATCTTTGTTTTTTATTTATTAATAAAAAACAGCAATAACAATAGCTCAACCGGAAAAAGGTGCCTTGCCCTCTTCAGGTGGGTGGGGAGGTCCTTCCTCAAGTGGAGGAGTTCATGTATCTCGGGGTCTTGTTCACGAGTGAGGGAAGGATGGGAGGATTGTGGTGAAGAGGGAGCTGAGCCGAAAGGCAAAGCTCTCGATTTACCGGTCAATCTTCCCTCCCTCACCTATGGTCATGAGCTGTGGGTAATGACCGAAAGAACGAGATCGCGGATGCAAGCGGTCGAAATGAGCTTCCTCCGCAGAGTGGCTGGGCGCTCCCTTAGAAATAGGGTGAGGAGCTCGGTCACACGGGAGGAGCTCGGAGTAGAGCCGCTGCTACTCCACGTCGAGAGGAACCAGTTGAGGTGGCTTGGGCATCTGTTCAGGATGCCTCCTGGACGCCTCCCTGGGGAGGTGTTCCGGGCACGTCCCACCGGTAGGAGGCCCCGGGGAAGACCCAGGACACGCTGGAGGGACTATGTCTCTCAACTGGCCTGGGAGCGCCTTGGGGTCCCCCCAGACGAGCTGGAGGAAGTGTGTGTGGATAGGGAAGTCTGGGCGTCTCTGCTTAGACTGCTGCCCCCGCGACCCGGCAACGGATGAAGCGGAAGAAGATGGAATGGAATGGAATAACAATAATAATGCATTGGTTTTATACAGTGCTTTTTGGATACTCAAAGATGCTTAAGATGGTATTATCCTCTCACTCCATATGCGGTGGTGATAAAGTACCACTGTAGCCACAGCTTCCCTGCACCAGACTCTCACTAGGCACATCAGGTGCCATCACAGTAATAACCAGGCCTTGCCCTGCTTAACATCAGTGACCTAGCGGAATTAGGCTTTCACCAGTGGGGGCGAGTCCCGGGTCAAAAGTGGCCAAAATGACGTGCGCTGACATGCTTGCAATACCACCCCGGGCCGATGGGGGTGGACCCAGAAGAAGAATTAGCCAATGCTAACATATAGCATTTTGGCCCAAAGCTCCGTTCCACATGTGTGTCAATGCTGAGGGGAGTGAATTTTTTTGGACCACTCTAGTTTACTCGCTGTGAATTTTTTAAGTCTCTCGTTCAAATGAATGGAGCTCGTGCTAGCTGACGCATGCGCAGATGCGTTTTTGCACAATTTTCTTGTGGGCGGGACCACTCGCTGCCATTTTGGATAGCTCCAGCATGGGCCACTATTTTTGGCCCATTTTTGGCCCAGTTAGAACGGCGGAGATAGGCGTGACTACGTCCGTTAATTTTTACAGTCTATAGCTTTCACATGCAAGTGGCACCAATTATATCTGTGTAACCAATTGTTGAAGTCTTCTATCTTTAGAAAGTTTCAGGAGTCCACCTTTGTGTCTGTTTCAATTGAAATTTCGGAAAAAACTGTGTCCTCTATAGGGTTAAATTATTTTAATGTTATTTACTGTCAATGTACACGCTGGAGGGACTATGTCTCTCAGCTGGCCTGGGAACGCCTTGGGGTCCCCCGAGACGAGCTGGAGGAAGTGTGTGTGGATAGGGAAGTCTGGGCGTCTCTGCGTAGACTGCTGCCCCCGCGACCCAGCAACGGATAAAGCGGAAGAAAACGGATGGATGGATGTAACATGATTTTTTCTTCACTAATTACTTAATGTGGCCTTTTTAGATTCCCTTACTTGGACAGCCCAGAGGAAAGGTTTATTCTTGAGGCACTGAAACAGCTTTACCAGTTTGACGCAATCGACAGGTGAGTTTATGGTGCATTTTTCTCCTTCCCAAGAAATAATTAGTATTGATTATGGTCGTGGACTTTAGGAGAGGGAAGGTGACGAAGCTTGGAGAGTTGATGGTGGAGTTCCCTCTTCATCCTGGTCTGACCAGGGCCGTTCTGAAAGCCGCCTCTTACAGATGCCCAGATCTGATGCTGCCTGTGGCTGCCATGCTCTCAGTGGAGAACATCTTCATTCGACCAGGTCTGTGTTAAGGCCAATTATATCAGTATCAATTCTAGTGTTAAAACTCATGTTAAAAAAAGAGATTTGCATATTAGGTCCCTTCGTCGATTAAGCGGTTGATGGTGTCTTAATTGACCATTTCAGTCAATTCTAATTATTTCATTTGAATTTCATATGTGAAAATACTGCAAACAAAAAGGAAGATATGGAGCAAAATGGCAGTAGAGTTTAGTTTCTCCTTTGATATTTAATCCAGTATAATCAATAGTGTATCAATCTCTGTTTCATCAATTTATCTTATGCTGAAAAAGTTCATTACTTTTATGAGTTTACGCTCTGGATGCGCAACAATCGTTTACGCTCTAATGTCACAGCAGCAACAATCTTCACTACCCTCCAGACAAATACAAGTGTTTGATGGCAATCCATTACAGTATCATTTGTGAGAGCATTTAAATATGGAATCGAGAGTAAAACGGACAATGAGGATGATAGACTCTATTACTTGGAGCAGTACACAAGTGGTCAAGCCAGAGAGCTTGTAAGGAGCTGCTTTCACATGGATGCAAGTATAGGCTACAAAGAGGCAAAAAGAATGTTAAAAACACATTTTGGAAATGAATTCAAACTTGCAAGTGCATATATTGAAAGGGCTCTCAATTGGAACAACATAAAGCCAGAAGATGGAGACGCACTGCATGCATATGCTCTTTATTTAAGAGGATGTCTCAACACAATGAAACAATTAAAATCCATGCAAGAATTAAATCTACCATCTAATCTAAAACTGGTGTAGTCTAAACTGCCCTATAAACTCAAAGAAAGATGGAGAACAGTGGCACATGAACTTCTGGAAACGAATAAAACACCAGCACGATTTTCCGACCTTGTAGCATTCATTGAAAAACAGTCTAATATTCTACAAGATCCTCTCTTTGGTGAAATCCAGGATGTTTCTAGAAAAACATAATCCAAGCCCACTGTAAAAGTAGAATCTAGAGCTCACCTGCCACAGAAGAATAAGAGCAGCAGTTTTGTCACAACTGTTAATGACTATAAAACTGTGTGTTGTATTTGTGGTAAAACAAATCATTCTCTGGATCAGTGTGAAAGTTAAAAGCACAGACACATGATGTTAAAGTGCATCTGCTTAAAACAAATGGCATCTGCTTTGGCTGCTTGAACAAAGGACATATGAGCAAAGCATGTAAAAGAAGGATGACGTGTGAGTACTGTCAAGCCAAACATCCAAGTGTGTTGCATATACACAACTCAGCGGACAATTCAAATATGAAACTAACACAATCAGTGAGTGGCACATTACTTTCAATGGAGAAGAAAAACGGTTGTGATACTGGGGCTGGAAGTGACTGTAAATTATCAATTGTGCCTGTCCAGCTAAAAGCAGCAAAAGGTGACAAAACAATCTTTACATAAGCCTTCCTAGACCCAGGAAGCACAGCCACATTCTGCACAGAGAATATAATGCGTCAACTGAATGTCAATGGAAAAAGGACACAAGTTTTGCTGCAAACAATGGGACATAGAAAACCAGTAAACAGTTACGAAATTAATGGTTTACAAGTTGGTGATGTGAGTGGCAATAACTTTATTGATCTGGAAAAAACTTATACTCAATGGAAAATCCCAGTGACAAGAGCAAACATATTGACACAAACTGACATTCACAAATGGCCGTATCTAAAAGAAGTAAGTATCAAAGAAATGTATGCGGATGTGGAACTCCTTATAGGAGTAGATGTTCCAAAGGCAATGGAACCCTGGTAGATTATAAACAGTCAGGGTAATGGCCCCTATGCTGTCAGAACTTTACTTGGATGGGTGGTGGATCCTTTGGGTTATTGTAGTGTTCTTTTAGGGATTTTTTTTTGTTGACTACTGCCTAAGTCATAAGAAACATTATAAAACATCAATATTGAACAATCAGTGATTGAAACATCAACAATTTTGTAAGATCCATCAAGGCGACTGCTGTTGTGATTTTTGGGTGACAAAAATACTTTGATTCGATTTAATATTGACAGCATCAATCCTCTGATATGTTCTTCAAATCTCATTTTCTAATAGAACATGCATAGAAAAAATTATCAGCTTTGCTAAATCCCTTTGTTTTTATGTGGCACAGATTTCCACAAACAGCCCACTTTCATTTATGGTTTCTCTTTTTAAATGTATAAATTCAATCACTGTGTCTAATATTGCCACGCCTATTTTACTATGACCTGAATAATTTTAAATGTTAATAATACAATGTATCTTGCCAACCCTAGTTTTTTTAGAATCCGGTTCATAGTTTGTTTGTTTTTTTGCATTCTTTGAAGGTCATTCTCAAAAACAGAAAGAAGCAGATGAGAGACACCGGGCACTGGCTTCAAAAAGTGGTGGCATGAATGATTTTGCCACACTTTTGAGTATATTCCACTTCTGCAAGTCCAGGTATGCAAATAAATTAAGGAAAAGGATTATTGTACGGAACAAGTATAGACAATTCCCGTTGTTTGCCTCCACATCACACGTAGTGAAAAGCCAGCTGCCTGGTGCAAGGAAAACTGGATCCACTGGAGGGCGCTGAAGTCCGCCTTCAGTGTGGAGACTCAGCTGGGAGAAATCCTCTACAGACTGCAGCAGGTGTTAAACTAAACCATTATTTATTAACTCATCATACAATGTAACGAACATAACTGATTTAAAGGATTTCTTCTTCTAGCGGAGTGATTTTCCATTTGAATCATTTGATGGTAACGAAAAAAACAAACTAAGACTATGTTTGTGTGCAGGGTATTTCACAAATGTTGCCAGAAGGTAACCCAATAAACTATTAATTTTGTTTCATTTGTTGTAGATTTAGTTTTGTGATTTATTATTGGAAATGTTCCCTGCACAGGTCTATTGGAAAGGCATTTTGTACAATGGACGGCCATGGCTCTATGGTTCATATTCATCCTTCCTCAGCTGTATGTAACATTTTAAAGCACGCTTTTGTAGTTTTGATAATGAGATGTTATTGCTTTGCCCCCAATTTTAATACTAATTTTATACTGTTTTTAAAATGCCACTGTAGGCTCACGCCTTTCAACATCAGTTTGAAGATTTAGTCATTTATTGCAAGTTAAGCAAATTATATTTAAAAATACATTGATCAGATTTTCAAAACAAAGGTTTATCAGTTTACACGTTTGAGGAGCATATTAACTATTTGTTTCTACCATTAATGTCTGTATTTTAAACCTTCCCTCTAATAGGAACAGATTGTTATATGCTGCTCTCAATTAGCAGTGGTACAATGTTTTGGCCTTCTTTCAAAATCACATGTGACCATTCGAGGCAAAGCAAAAACATGTAGATCGAGAAAAGTAACAAATTGCACCAGTCTATTCATGTTAGTTATTGATATATCATTTAAAAAATGTTCTTCTTGCAGCTGTTTGAAAATGAGAAGGATTTTGACTGGGTGATGTTTAATGATGTATTGGTGACCTCTAAAGTGTACATCAGGACAGTGTGCCCAATCCGATACGAGTGGGTCAAGGACTTACTGCCAAAGCTTCACGAGGTTGACGTCTATGAACTGAGCAATGTGGCCCGAGAAGAGGTCACTGAAGAAGAAATGGCAAAATGGGAAAATAAGGAGGCAGCAAAAAGACGACAAGGTTCATAACTTTTTTGCTCCACTCACGTATGTATACAATGCATACAAATATAGAGTACATTAAAAAAAAATGGTCTTGTTTGACAGAGATTGCAAAACGGTCTAAACGCTGATCAGCTGGAGCCTTGTGATGCTTTCAAAGGCATCTTGTCACTGCCTGAGCACCCAAACTTTGGAATAATTGTGAATACATTTGCTATCATAAATGTATTAGCCATGGCACTATAACAATATCGGGTATTGGCACACAACATCTTGTTTACTCAGATTTGATTTTCACACATGCTCAATTGTGGCAACATGTCATTTCATTTCCGTAGAGCAATTCAAAGCATCATGTCTCCTGTATAAAGTACTGGGAACATTCAGATAAACCTTAGTCCCTAAAGATTCCCTGGAGCTGCCCTGCCATTGACTGCATTTATGACAATAGGAAATTGCCAGAACAAAGAAAATCATGGAATGATTGATCACATAAACTCTAATTCAAAGGGATTTCCCCGGACTACAAGAACTACCTATATTCTATGTTTGTTTTTGTTAGATATCTAATCTACAAATGTGTTTTTACCAACAGAGGCGTCGGCAGAAGAAGCCATGAAAAAACTGGAGAAACGAAATGATGAGGCCAGTGTCAGTGATGCTCGCGCTCGATACCTCCAGCGAAAACAACAACAAAAACAGAGTAAAGCAACATAGACAATTATTGAATGTGTTAAAATAAAAACTTGTATTTTTCTATTTCAGTTCATTAGAAATAATTTGGAGTGGAGTGTCAACATTATTCATATGTGAATTTTGTGTGTGAATATTCTGCTAGAACTACTGATAAGCCAAACGGTACTCTGTTTTATGCATGCCTCATTATGAATTATAAAATACATACACTATTACGGACTCTTAGTATAAACATAAAAGACAAAAGTTACATTCAATGTATGAATATATCACATATTCAATATATTAAACCTTTCATCTTTCATGAGATAATATTTACATTCGAAATCAATACATGTAATTGGATTACAGTTACACGTGGGGGGTTTTTGTTTGGGATATGTGTCTCTTCCATATAAAGATATGAAAAGAACCTATATTCATCCCACCGTGGGGGAAATTTAAGGGGAAAAAGACATAGTTGTAATATTTATACACTATACTCTATATATGTGCTTAAAAGTATGATCTGAGGTTTAGAGCTTTTGTCAAAAACTAGCCATTTGTATGTAATTGCCACCACAATAAAATATACTATGCAGTAGGGTATTGTGAGGAATTTGTAATAGCTGCATAGGGTATGGTCAGAATAAAAGGCAAATACAGTAACTCGTGAGAGGGCAGCCATATTTTCCCCTCTTTAATAAACTGTGGATTTTGTAACTACATACGAGATCTGTTCGGTTTTCATAATCCCAAATTTCATCCAAATCAAAAGGTATTGGAAGATCACTGTTTTCATTATTATTCATGGCCAGTGCGTGGACAACCCCTGCGCCTGACGTCACTTCCGCTGTGAGTCCGCGAGGCGCTGTGCTGTCTGTGACGGAGGTAAGACTGCTCAGCCTCCACTCAGCGCTCAGGCGGATCTAAACATGAACATTTAAGCAAATACAAATCATTCCATCGACCAAACAGGAGCCCAGGGTGGCAGGACTGCGCGTCGTGGTTGTTTTCGCCCCGGGTCACGTCTGCGGGAGTGGAGCAGTGCAGCAGCAGAAACACGCGTGAGTGAAAAAAAACAAGCTGTGAGTGTTGTTAGCTAAGCGCTGTTTGGTCCCTGACACACTTCAACCCACACGCGTCTTTTCTTGTGCTTGAAGCTGTTCAAAGTGACCAACAAGGACTTATAAAACACACGCACTTCAATCACAAACTAAGGTATGGAAACCGGCGCTCGCAAATCCGAATTGGCCAAGTGACATGCTAAATGCTACACTGGCTAGCTGCCCTGCTGTTTGGCCGTAATGCGGTCATTCTGTGGTCCAGCCAAAAGTCCTGTCCAGTCACCAAATCAGTCTGACCTGCAATGTCAAATCTGCTCCACTTCTGTAGCTCTATTGTGTGCCATGCATTTGCCCACCAACTATTTTCATACTTCCTGGCTCAGGCTGTCTCTGACCACAAATAAGCTGCTACTGTTGTTGTGGCATCTATAGGTTCCTGGTTCGATCCCGGTTCTCTGCACACACACAAAATCCTCTCTGAAAATTGAAGGCTACACAAAATCACTTGAAATGTTGTGGCATGGTATCTAAATAGCCATCCTTTTGTTGACGAAAATATAAAGCATAATACATAATGTGTCAAAACAAGCTGGATCTATTGTACTTGAGTTGTCGTTTCGAGTCTTTAAGTGTAATTGTGTGACTTAATTTCCCTTGTGTTTGTGTTGGTCAAATGCAGTTAAGTGGCTTCAGATTTTTATCTTGATCATCTTGGTGAGCTACTGAATTCTTGTACCGTCAGTAATGGGTAGAACGCAAACACACTAATGATGACACTCTAACTGTAATGGGGAAAACACAATTTGAAGCCATCAGATTTGACAGGAATTTATGTTCTGAGTGGAGTTCAAGCCAGGTGTTTCAAATGCCAAATCTTTCTCTCTTGTCATACTGTTGTAATTAATGTGTACTCTAACTCCACATGATCTCAAGTTTGAACTCTTCCACTAGACATGGTTGTGCACATTTCAGCATTATTCGAGTTGCTTTTCAAGTCTGAGAAAACGGGAATGAGTGAAATGCTGACAACACTCTTGAGATAAGCATCTCCTGAGAAAGTCCTGCTTTGTACATTTTGCGAGACTATTTGCTCAACATAATCAAGCTTATGAATAGTTTTATGTAATGTGCAATAATTATGATAATTTGTTTTTTGCCTTTTATGAGTTTTTAGATAATTTTTTTGTCCATTGACATGTTATCATAATTATTTTCAGGTAGTAAATTTGAGTCTTGGGCAGCAAAAGGCCAAAAGAGTCACGCCGTTCCCCCTTTCTCTGGCATAGACCATTTTGTACCCCACCATGAATGAGGTCACTGTTGTGAGAGAAGGATGGCTCCTTAAGAGAGGTAGGTGCACTTTAAAACCATTAAATCTACCAGAAATCAATAAAACATCTGCCACTATTAATTGTGTTGTGTATTTGTCCAGGCGAGTACATCAAAACATGGAGGCCTCGCTACTTCATTTTAAAGACTGATGGATCTTTTATCGGCTATAAGGAGAAGCCTGAAGTGTCCAGTGATCACAACCTCCCCCCTCTCAATGACTTTTCGGTAGCAGGTCAGTTAAACTTCAACCTTTTATTTCTGTGTGTCACTGGGGTTCAGTTGGGTCCTATTCTTTTACTTGTGCGTCGCAGAATGTCAGATAATGAAGACTGAGCGACCAAAGTCAAACACATTTGTCATCCGGTGCCTTCAGTGGACCTCTGTTATCGAGCGCACCTTTCACGTTGAGAGCAATGAAGAAAGGTAAGCTTTATAAGCTATACTTTATTATCCTCGTAGGGAAATTTGTCCCAATTTGACCCATTCTTCAAATGTTATAAATACTTTGTTTATTCATTTATTTATTTATTTATTACTGGGACAGTGCATATTAATGAACATTTCTGTAAATATGCCAGAATTAGCCAAACGGCTATTTTTTATCCGTAGTCCCATGTCTCCTGAAAAGATAAAAACCTGTTTGCTACACAGTTGAAATAATGCGAGATATTTACAATATTTACAAGGACAAGACGGTAACACATTCAGTCATACATCGTTCAACAAACAATACACAATCACATGGAGACAGACATAGAACACATACCGGCGCACACAGAGCATGCGGCCACTTTGAGATAGTTTATTTAATTTTCTTAAAGGAGTATTCTAAAATTGAATTGAGATTGTTTGACTAGAATAGATCCCTTGTGACCAGGAATCTTTTACTACTATGAAAACATTGGCTTACGTTGGTTTGATTTTTCCTACCAAATTGATAAAAGTTAATTTACAAAATGATCTGAAACATTTTACCAAAACAAAAATCATCTGCATTCATTGAATACATAAAACTAGTCAAAATGTAATTTGTTTAGTTTTTGTCGCTTTCTCATGATATCCTGCCTGTTCTTAAACCTCCTCTATTTGATTCTCCCAGAGTTTAAAACCTCATACACTCCAAAGCCAACATGACCGGCTTTGGGGAGCTTTAATAAGGGTGGTTTTTGTGTCTGTCATCAGGGAGGAGTGGATGCGCTCGATCCAGGCTGTGGCCAATAGCCTGAAGAGCCAGCAGCAGGACGAAGAGCCAATGGTGATAAAATACGGCTCTCCCAGTGACAGCAGCGGCGCGGAGGATATGGAGGTGGCCGTGTCGAAAGTCCGCACCAAAGTGGTCAGTAACGCGCAATAGGGCTTCATGATTGCAAAGTGTCTGACAAACATTACTTAAAGGAATAGTAGTAGTAGTAGTAGTAATCTTTATTTATATACCGCCTTTTCACTGCACATCGGAGTCTCAAAGCGGTTTACAATTGTTATTTTTTGGGAGTGGGGGTGCCAGTACAGGAGGCACATGCCAGACCTATTGTACATATTTTTAGTGGTAGGGGAAACCGGAGCACCCGGAGGAAACCTACGCAGACACGGGGAGAACATGCAAACTCCACTCAGAAAGGCCCTGGTCCAACCGGGATTTGAACCCAGGACCTTCTCGCTGAGAGGCGAGAGTGCTATCCACTCAGCCACCGTGCCGCCCAGCGTGCCGCCCAATAGGCCACCGTTTGTACATACTGACATATGTTCTTACCTTACCTTAGACTAGTTGATATGTACCTGTCTGGTCTTTGTCCGTGCGCTCTGTCATGCAAACGGAGCACAAATGCAGCCTCTTCCACAGACTGTATAATTCCAAATCAGCTCCCGTTAGAAGCTACCAAACTCTTCCACGTTTTCCCTATTTAAATACAGTTACGTGTTACACTACAAAGTCCAGTAACACAAAAATGTAACATGTCGATTTTCTCAGCGGATAAAAAGGGGTACTATATTGTGAGGCGTAATAATACGAGGAGCACTACGTCCGTGCACTAACTCCTTAAGACTTCTCTCCCGCTCACGCTGCTTTTATTGACGGAAGTGTCACGTCACGTAACTGTATTTAAATAGGGAACACGTGGAAGAGTTTGGTAGCTTCTAACGGGAGCTGATTTGGAACTATACAGTCTGTGGAGGAGGCTGCGTTAGTGCTCCGTTTGCATGACAGAGCGCACGGACAAAGACCAGACATGTACATATTAACTAGTCTAAGGTAAGGTAAGAACATATGTCAGTATGTAAAAACGGTGGCCTATTCCTTTAAGCAGTGTTGATATATGAAGAATCAGTAAAATATGAACTGATACATTGACACAAGAAAAGACAGAATTCAGTGAGTTTCTGAACTCTTTTTAATAGCTATACAGTACAGAAAAACAAGAAATGTCTGTGCATTTCTAATGCAACAATTTCGTGTCAAAAAATTAAATTTATATATATTTTACATTTTGTGTCTTTAGTTTTATCTTCTGATGAGGTGTCCGCCAAAGGAAAATTAGATTTTCAGAATTGTGTTAAAATAATGAATATAAAGGGGGATAAAACTTTATATCCATGTGTTAAAATCTTATTAATATATTGGCATAAAAGGTTGAGTTTGTAAATTGTTTTTTCAAGACACAAACTTGTCTTTAGAGTTTCTAAATAATGATTCCCATCCAGTCTTCAGTTAAAGCAGACTAGGAAGTAATGTGACATTTCTTGAAAAGTAATTTATTAACTTGTTTTTCCAAAACTGACTGAGTTTAACATTAATAAGCGAGTGAAACAACAGTTCTTCTTTCAATGCACAGTTTCTGAACACAATCTTAATGGCTCATTTTTGACACCACAGACCATGAGTGACTTTGATTACCTGAAGCTTCTGGGAAAGGGCACTTTCGGCAAAGTTATCCTGGTGAAGGAGAAGGCCTCAGGGATATACTACGCTATGAAAATCCTCCGCAAGGATGTCATCATCGCTAAAGTCTGTGATACACACATTTCAACATTTATTGCAGTAAACATTTAGATCATATATTATGCCTTTTTTGTTTCATTTTTAGGATGAAGTAGCGCACACAGTTACAGAAAGCAGAGTCCTTCAAAATACCAGACATCCCTTTTTAACTGTGAGTATTCTTTGACACTGTAAAAACTATTCAAATATTACATTTCCATATTTATAAATATCTAACTGTCTATTCTGCAGACTCTCAAATATGCATTTCAAACCCACGACCGCCTATGCTTTGTGATGGAGTATGCAAATGGAGGAGAAGTACGCACTTTATCTACAATGGCTGTACTTTAAACCCTATTTAATAAACTTATTTTTAATCCTTAGCTCTTCTTCCACTTATCTCGAGATCGTGTTTTCTCCGAGGACAGAGCTCGATTCTACGGAGCAGAAATAGTATCCGCATTAGAGTATTTGCATTCATGTAATGTTGTTTACAGAGATTTGAAGGTAATTTATTGGTTATGGTAATTTGCTCGCACTTAATTTCCATGTAAATCATTTAATGTCATTTTTCTTTTTCAGCTGGAGAACCTGATGCTGGACAAGGATGGTCACATGAAGATTACAGACTTTGGTCTGTGCAAAGAAGGAATCACGGACGGTGCCACAATGAAGACTTTCTGTGGAACCCCAGAGTACCTCGCCCCGGAGGTAACTACACAAATTCAGTTAGTCTGGACGTTTTAATACTAGGACTGAGCTTGGCCTATTGCAGTAGAAAGTCTGAACTGTCAAAATCTCTGCCAGAGTTTGTTGCAATGATAACCCCCTATGGGATTTGGATTTTTTATTGTCAATTCACCAACAACAGATTAACAAATCCAAAAATAAGGACTCAAGGAATTAATGAAACGCATTAGAATCATTGGTCATTGGTCTTTCAAATGTTCATAAGTGTCGTCATCGGCAAGGAAGACTCAAAACCCAATGGTAGAAAATGTGAGTAACTTTGGGGAGGCCCACAGTGAGAGAGAAATCCACTTCCAGGGACTGACAGAACAAAATGTATGCAAGTCTTTCATGCCACAAAAAGTTGAAGCCATGAATCATTGTGCAATTTTATTTCTGCTGTAGAGTGTTAAATAATAAGTATCTATTTGCCATTGTGATGTGTTTAGGTTTGAATTATTTATATTGTCAATTTTCTATATTAACAAAAACATTTAATTTTTAGGTGTTGGAGGACAATGACTATGGGCGCGCAGTGGACTGGTGGGGTTTGGGTGTGGTCATGTACGAGATGACGTGCGGCCGTTTGCCCTTCTATAACCAGGACCATGAGCTTCTGTTCGAGCTCATCCTGATGGAGGAGATCCGCTTCCCCAAAAACCTGGGTCCTGATGCCAAGTCCCTGCTGGCAGGTCTTCTCAGGAAGGACCCAAAGCAAAGGTAGACACTGGTACACTGCCCATGGTACAGAAGAGTCATGTGTTTTATTTTTAGCATAATAAGTCTGTTTGTCCCATTTTCATCATAATTATATTTTGCATTGTACATACCATGACAAAAATAACATGGGATGTTTTTTTATCATGCGGTTCAAGTTACTTATAAAATCCCCATCATGACTAAACTGTGCTTCTCAAACTGTGGTATGTGGATCATTGGAGGTCCCAAAGCTTCTTCCAATGGTTCAGGTTCTTTAGCAGTTAAACATCATTTTGAGTTTTTATCCAATTTGCGTTTCTCCTCAAAGAAGAATGTTGTCATAATGGAGTCCCATTTAAAACAAATCTTAAGACCAAATATTAGCCCTTCAGCTTTAAGACCAATAAAACCTCTGGTACAGAACTTGTACATTGAACCTTTGGTCTAACTTATATTGCATTTATGTTGTATTTTAAGCAATAAATGTTTCTAGTTTAAACATTTGTCTTCTATTCAGTCATCACTATAGAACACAAAAACTGAGTTTGAAGCATCCTCATGTGGATCCGTGTCCCTCTATGCATGTGTTTGTTAGGATTCAAACCACCAATGTTCTAAAGGGTGATGAACACTTGACCAACGTGACTGCAGCTGCTCCAACATTGTTGTCACTTTTTGGAGGCTCTCCTTTTCCCCTCTATAAAAAGTAACCACATTATCGGATCTTTTTGTCCAGTGATTCAGTTTGGTCCAGGTCAATGGGCATAAACATGGCCGTAAGTTGTTTTTCCTGAGCCCCCATTGTCCTCACAATTGACCAATATTGGCACACTGGGTTTTGGCCGCAGGCTCCAAACATCACCTGCTATAAGTAGAGTGGAAATGTGTTGGAGAAAAAAAGCCCAACGAGAACATTGCGTCTTAAGTGTTTGTTCATTTATTTTGATAGCCTTCAGTCAATTTTCTAAAGGAAATATTAATCTGATGTTTTCAGACTTGGAGGAGGACCGGACGATGCTCAAGAAGTGAAGGGCCACGTGTTTTTTACGTCCATCAACTGGCAGGATGTGATTGACAGAAAGGTCAGCCTTATAAACAATAGGACCTCATCTAAACAATGTTCAATGTTTAACAGATTTTTTAAATCTCGTTTCAGCTTGTGCCCCCATTCAAGCCCCAGGTCACTTCAGAAACAGACACCAGATACTTTGATGATGAATTCACAGTGCAAAGCATCACTATAACACCACCTGATAAGTGTATGTAAAAGGACCTTGACATGATATAATAGGTTTATGAAAATACTATCATTATGAGACATTTACAAGTCTTTATATAAGTGACAAACCTACATTTATATGGACCTTTTTATAAGCCTAACTTATTGTTCAATAACTGTTGATAAAACATATTTTGGGGCTCAATATTTATTGTTGTATATTCTTCACAAAGGTGGTTATTCTTTGTAAAACTTTGGGGTGTTAACTGTAGATGTAGTGTTGAGATGGACTAATGAAAAGGGCTTTAAGTAGCTTCAATATAGTTTATCAAATCAATATATTGTCCATCAAAATGTTTTGCTGTGTGCGGCCTAACCATATTATGCACTGTTGCTATAAACGTCTCTGTACAAATTCCCTTTGGAGCATTAGAGTGCATGTGCTTGTTTGCCATGGTTTTGACTGTCATAAGTGAACTGTTTAACATTTCCTTTTCTTCTCATTGCAGATGCAGACAGTCTAGATGCCGAAGATTCAGACCAGCGAACGCACTTCCCCCAGTTTTCCTACTCTGCCAGCATACGAGAATGAGCAGGCAACCTCTCCCACTTCTACACACACACGCACGCACACACACACACATGCTGCTGGGAAACACAACATCAAACTCTGGCACAATTTTCACATTCATTATGTCTCATCTTTTGCAATTAGGCGTCATTTCCTTCTAAATGAGGCCGTGAATGACTGCAGAAAGTTTTGTGTGGGAGATTGGCAGCTGTGTCCAGATCTGCTCTTTCACTACACACCCCACATTAAGGCCTTGACACTTGAGAACCAGGTTATGCCAGCAAGTTCCACCATTTTACCTGCTGTAACATGCATTATCCACATTTTCATAGTGCTATGTGAGACAAAATTATGATTTAGTTTTACAAATGGTCATAGAAAAGCTCTCTCTATGATATTTGTGGTGGAGTATTTGCTACACGCTGTCTCTAGGAAATTGAGTTGGCTGCACACTACGGTTTAACATTTTTGATACAAAGTTGGTAGACCACCGGGTGCAAATTGAGTCACTAAAACAGTTGATGACTATTGGAAGTTAGAAGAGGGCAACAAAGGAGACAAGTAACGTGCTCCCCAAAAGATTACATGGACCTTTTTTGGACATCCCTTTTTAAGTTATTGTTTTTGAGGCTTTCGATGTAAAGCTTTTGAGAGTATGTAGAGTACAGTGGTGACCAAAGTTATTAGTACACCTGACTCACTGGATTGATGAAGGACTCAAGTAAAAACGTAGCGCTTATTTTCATGTCTGTTCATTTGATTTGTTTCTCTCATGATCATGCACAGCTGTACAGTGATTAGTTCAGATACATTATGAACATATAATTTCCATGATTGTTGCATTTTCTTCATATCTACTCCTTTCCAAACAATAAGAATGGTCTTGTCGTTCCTCTAATACCCTTGCCTGTGCAAACCACAGTTTATATTTGTTGTGGGCACAGTTTCTATTTAGTACTAGTTATTTTGCGTTATGTTTTTAAACAATGATTCACCACAGGCGTTTAATTCTGTTCTGGAATGCAACAGGACTTTCACAGTGAAATCTGTTCCTCTTCATACAGTTTACATACCCTGGCAGAATGTATGCCTTCATAGCCATTTTTCAGATATTAATGATGGCACAACCCTGTGGTGGTGATCGGATTAAGCCATTTTTGTCTAACAACTGTGTTTACTCTTTTTGAATATAAAATGTATAAATCCAAGTTTACATACCCTGGTGATTTTCTTGGCACACACTGGCTTGAATGGCTACCAAAGGTTACCACGCACATTAAGTGTAAACAAAATTCTTATCATTCATTCTCTGAATATTGGCCAAAAAAAATCATTCATTCTGCCAGGATATGCAAACTTGCGCTCATAGCTGTATGAAAATGACTGACTAGTGGTTGTCTAAAATTGAAATAGATTTGACATTTTCTATTTATTTAAATGCAATTGAAAATCTGTCTGGTAAGTAAGTAAGTAAGTAAGTAAGTAATCTTTATTTATATACCGCCTTTCACAGACCAGAGTCACAAAGCGGTTTACAATTGTTATTATTTTTGGGCATTGGTCCACTCACTCCACACAGAGATGGGAGCAGGGTAAACCCTTACATTTAGCCACTACTGTTTTGGTCTTTCTTCCAAGGTTATGTTTGAGTTGGTTAAAGCTGGAGTTACAGTAAGTCAGGAGGATAAAAATGCACGTCTGATTGAACAGATGTTTTTTCTGTGTAAATTAAAACGTCTTGAGCACGAAGAGCACTCTATACAGCTCAGCCTTTTTACATAATTTCATATGTAACCTTTCTGGTAGACCTCAGCTGTGAATGTCGATATATTGGCCAAATACTGGAGAGTTTAGCTTTTTTCCGTTTTACATTTATGTTCCTGAACGTTGCTCCAAAATGACAATACAGACCTGCATGTCGTATATATTTGGAGTTGTGCTCAGGTTAAAGATAAACCAGCCATTTCAATACTTACCAGGCCAGTTATTTTATTTCAAGGCACAAAATGTCTGCAGCATGTCTGAAGCGTAGAAAGCATGGCTTTCTACGCTTCAGAGTTCAGTAATCTTTAAACTGTTCGCCACCATTCCTAAGTGTGTTTTTATGTTTAAATTATGTTTTAATTTAAGCCTCTGAATGTTCCTGTATTTAAAGTGTGAGAGAGCTGTTGTCGGCCAAAACTCTGAGTGATTCCACATTTACATTATAATACTTTTATTTTTTTCTTGCTGTATCTAAGCCTTTAAATCCATGTTGTCATGCACCTGCACCAGTTCCTCATTGCTACATTCCAACAAAGGCACTTCTCGTCCTGTCGACCAACTCTCAACTAAACTATGTAGGCTGAGAATCAGAAAAGTACTTTATAAATCACCCGGCTTCAAAAAAAAAAAACTGTTTGAGTCATGACCGCGAGATTGAGAGGTTTTTGACAGCTTTCTGAAGTGCTCATATTGACGCAAGCAAATTTCTTATTGCTGGAAAAATATCTTATTTTATTTACTATTGTTCATTATGTCAATTTTTTATCACTGTTGTCCATTCCTCAAATTCTTTTGACACATGTATACGTTATATAAAAATATCTCTATTAAAGGTTTTTAAACATTCCATTTTTGATTTTCTTCATTGACTTTTTTTGTGATCTTGTGATATCACAATTGTATGTATGACAGACTATAAATCTGAACCAAACCTGAAATGGGAAATGGCATTTCAGTGATATTGAATTTCCACTAATATAAATTTCAACTCAATGTATTCACAATATCAGTTTCAATATTTCTTGATTGCAATCTGTCACACTGAAAGAGACGCCCTACAAAGCTATGTAAAGCTTGTGCATGGGGTCTGACAATGCAAACAATAATATTGGGATGCCTTAAGCAATAATTAAACTTATGTGACTGCTGATGCTTACTATTGTAAAATAAATATATATATATATATATATATCGTATATTATATAATCTACATTTGATTCTGTCAATGGCATGAATGACCTAAGAAAAGGCTGATTGAGTTTGTTTGAAAGTGTTATCATTGTGAGTAGATCATAGATCGGTTCTCACCCACATTTCCAGCACCTCTTCCCACTGCCTCAGGCTCAGCCACCACAGCCTCGTGCTCTGGACCTTTATTCAGACGGACTTTTTACTGTGGATCTGCCTTCGCCGATTCCTCTCTCAGCCATAGGGGGTGCCACTGCTAGGCTTTTATATGGTTGTTAAGCCATATACACTTCGCTTTGACACGTGTTCCCCCGATCTCCTGTAGTAGCCTCCTAGACATAAGCGCTATTATGTAAATGCCAAATAGAGAATGCCGCTTGAGTGTGGTTATCCCTGGCTTTATAATTATAGCCTGAATGCCTAATAAAGCCTAGAGAACCCGAATCTAATGTTTATGTTGTATTATTTCAGCCTTTTACTATGGTTTAGGCTTGGAACTGGGGAGGGGGAAAAGCAATCAGCTAGTCATTGTGCATTGATTGTCTTCGAAAACATTATGTTCCCCTAGACTTTACTGTGTAATCTGCTGCAACTGCAAGTAAAACATGTGCAAATATGCCAGTAAACTTTTTTTAATAAAAACAATTGGTCTTTGCGTTGTATTTATTTCGTTTTAGTAAATAGTAAATAGGCTAAGCCACTATGTGAGTATTGTCTAACTGGGGTACCTAATTTAACTACTTAACCCGTAAACAATTTGGTTTTATTACTGGTGTTTAGATGCATGTCCTATTTCATTTTTCCCCTGTCACAATTTTAGGTCAACTTTTTTTGGAAGAATTATGAAGAGGCGGGACCACCCTTGGCCAATCAGCTCTCAGTCCAAAACGTCAAATAGTGACTTGCATGGCCCTTTGTGGTACAAGTTTGCTAAATATGTTTCATATACACTCAAATAAGATAAAGGAAGCAATGTGGTCATTTTGTGATGCATTATTCATGGTCGGTAAATAGGTACCCCAGCCACAGGTGCGAGGCCAATCAGCGGCTTTAAGAGCAGGTGCGCCCGGCCATGGCGCCAGTCTCCTCTGCCCGTCTGCCCGAGAGTCCTTCATCATCATCGCCGGTGGATAAGTAGCTGCAGTGGCCTGAGACGGGAGCTCGCTCAGCGGTTGTGGAAATGGCCGGGGCTGGTTTCTGTGACTCCAGGCCTTTGCTGGACTTACACCAAAAGGTTAGCTCCGAGGAGTGTGAGAACCTGTCCCATCAAAGTGCATTTAGGCTGACACTTCCAAACGGACACATCACGAATTAAATGATTATGAAGAACCAGGCGTGTGTAGCAGTTTCTAGGCTGCACAAACTCCCCCAGGCCCATCTTCAGAGGGCAACTCTGAAGTAGGCTACCATGTGTTCAATAAATGGGACTGATCTGCTCACAATTAGACTCTTATTGTTCTCCTACATATCGATCATCAAACCTAACTATATGTACAGCATCCAATGAGCTTGGCCAATGTACTTGAATGAATTAAAGTACATGACCTTAAGCTTTCTACAAAATGTGTCGGTTACTACACAGAAGCTAGACTTTCTAAAAGTTGAAGCCAGAATGTGAGGACTTGCTTGCAACATTTCAATTGAATAGGTTCACCTTTTATTGTCTAAAATGTTAAATATAGTTTAAATGACAAAGGTTTAGTAAAGCCTAGTAATGGGACGATTTACTAATTCTCTTAAGTGAGTTTTTGTTTTTAACATATTACAATTTTAAAGTGGATATTGTATGGTCTGCAAACTGGGGTTGTGTGTTTGTAGGTGGATGAGCGAAGGGCCCTCTTCACACCCTGGCAGTGCGCTGAGGATTATGAGTCTGGGATGGTGCCTGTCAACATGGAGGCAGAGTGTAGATGGGTTTGTGATAAGTGGTGATTTTACTCTGCTTCATATTCATGATAGTTGATGGTTTTTGTTTTTTGAAGGACACATTTCAAGCACTCGTGCCTGCTCTTCTGCGCCGTGAAGTGGAGCTTGCATTAGAGAAACTGGACCTTATATGGGACCACACATTTGCCTGGGAAATGTTTTTGGATATGATGGTACAATTGTAAACAGTTAGTGTAACTTGATATTCAAATAATTGACCTACATGTTTCTCTATTCAGAGAAGTCAAGCCTCTTGTACCTTTTCAAACCTGGACCTACCATCTTACTTTACTGACGCTACAAGAATCATTCTGGTAGACTGGCTAGTAAAAGTTCACGTGAGTCCTATATTCACTTCAAATGGCTGTCTTGCTTTGGCCTTATCCTTGTGTTTGTGCTCCAAAAGGAGATGATGCACTTTCAGGATGAAACTCTGTATCTTGCTATTCATCTGCTGAACTCCACGCTCCGCCTGATCAAAGTGACCACAGTCAACCTGCAGCTGCTGGGGATGGTCTGCCTCTTCATAGCTGCCAAGAAGGAGGAGACTCTTCTGCCTGAGGTGCTGTTCTTTCTCATGGTCTCCTTAAACCAAACTTTATCACTTTAAATCTTCATAGCTTTCCAAAACTGTTTGGCTCTTAATCCAATTCATCCTTTTCATGGTCCTTGACGCTGTATCACTTTAATCCCAGGTGTCGGACCTCTGCTACATCATGGACTACACTTACACTAAACCGCAGCTGCTTCGTATGGAACGGAAGGTTCTCTGTCAGCTTAAGTTTGACCTGTCGTTCTGTGCTCCTCTTCACTTCCTACTCCTGTTTGCCTCGGTCGCCCGGTGCAGTGCAAAGGTAAAACTCTTAACAAAGAAAAGGGAATCTTTATTTCACTCAAATTACAATTTAAATTCAATCGTTATATTAAAGTTAAATTCCAGATTTGAATTGCAAAGATTTGCTGCATGGTTCAAAGTAACCCTGGATTAAATAAGTGTCTTGTGGGTTGATGTTCTTGATGTGGTGTTTAAGAATCTCTGGATCTTTGTTCATAAGTGAAGGTGAGATTAAAATGCTAATCGGTGCGGCATCTGCAGTACCAGTTTGACTGACAGTGAATAGGAAGAATCAAAAGGGAGCTCTTTTAGATTAAAACTTTTCTAAAGAAGCTCTCAGTGGCAAGGTGCTCCCTTTAGAGATTGGTGCTAAGGTGCTTGGGCAGATGAGAGGAGCTCTAAGTAGAGCTGCTGCTCAATGTTGCTGTGGAGCCAGCAAAAGTGGCTAAAGGAAGTTGTTTTGGATGCCCCCTCTCTGCAGAGTTGTCTGGAGCCCTGGACCTTGGCACACCTCCAGATGAACTGGAGGGAGGTAATGGCCTAATCCTTGTAACTGATGTGAATCTACTGTAGATGACTTGGATGGCCCGTTATCTGCTGGAGCTGACTCTCATGGACGGGCAGTGTGTAGTCTTTCAGCCAATACAGTTGGCAGAAGCAGCGCTGTGTCTTGCTCGCCTGGTCCTGAAGGAGCCGCCAACCCCTGAGGGAGAAGCCGCCTGGTGCCTCGTGTCCAGCCTCCATCTTGGCAAGTGGGTAGACTCCAAGAAAGGAATGATTCTTCAATCTTGCACTAACCTTCTGGAAGTATTTACGCCGTGTATACTTTATTACAAATGTATATCAATTTTCAGTGTTATGCTGTTATTGACTTATATTTTGTCTTCAGTGAACCTGCCTTGCTGACCATCATGCACATACTGGCCATGGCTTCGTCCACTGCGCAGAAAGATATCTGGGCCTCGTACATTAAATTTTCCTCCCCAGAAACTATGCATGTCAGCAGACACCCCGGCCTCATGAATGCATCCCTTCTGCTAGGGGTGAACAAATGACTCACAGGAGGAAAAACTACTCATTAAAAATCTTTTGCATTTTGGAAGATCTTCTATTGAGGTTGAGGAAGAAGTAGAAATGTGTATGCTAAACACATACAATTTTATGGTCTTATTTTTGCAGCCGATTGTTTGTATTGTATCTATTTCATGTTGTGAAACTTATGAAAGCAAAGCCTTTTTAATGTTAAAATAAAGTGCTGCATTTTGAAATGTGTTTTTAGTTGTGGATGATTTGTATCTATTTGTAATTTATATCCACACAATTTTAGTTGAAATTCATTGTTAAGGCTTGGTCCTTTCCCTGTTCGTAGTGTCTATTTTTTTTAATTGGTAATTTACGGGGGTTTGTTGCCATTGTATTGTGGGATATTATTTCACTTGTCTCCCATTTTTATTTTATTGGTAGTTTATTGGGCCTAAAAATTTAGTGTTCTGCAAAGACTGCTTTTGTAATGTGCCTTTGCACAATTATGTAGGGTCTTGTTAGTGGTAACACTTCATCCTTTCATTAACCTCAACTGCCCTTTTGTCTAAATACACTGACAGACATTGGACCTCACGCTGAAAGTGGAATACTGCAGGAAATTGGATAATGTAACTTGAGCACTAATCTTTATCTGTCATGACTTCTGTAGTTTGTTCATTGCTATTCACCCGCTGTGCATTGTCTGTTTCATGACTCGTGGACTGCACCGCCTCAGTCCTGCATCCCGTGGCTTCGATTCTTGTTCCTTGCTGGTTGCAGAAGGGTCTAAGCCAGGATAGTGGTGATGGTGGACATTGGTCAGGCGCCCCTTTTGGATCGAAGGCTGTGTTTGAACGGTTCCATTCTCTGATCAGTGTTGGCCAATCAACAAATTTGTAAAGTTCTTTGAGATAACTACTGTTGTGATCAAGGCCTATACAAACATAAATTGAATTTTTTTTATAAGAATGAGATGTGTAAGTGTACATAAAGAGCCTGGAATGTTTCTCTCAATCCACAAATCATAGCTGCAGGTGTCAGATTATGGCCCAGTTCAGACAAGGGAGCGCAGGACAGAGGCCAGAGCCTCGAGTTTGTCAAGTCTCTAAAAATAGTTCTTTAAATCCGACGTGCAATCTTCATCTCTGAGGACACTAAAAAAGCGGGCGCATGTGGAGAAGAACCAGTGTCCAAAGTCCAGTGCACACATGATGATAATATAATAATAATAATCTTTATTTATATAGCACTTTTAAAAACAGTGTTTACAAAGCGCTGCACAGTCAGCATGATAAACAATAAAAACAGTCATAATGCAAGGTCAAAATAATTAGATACAGAAACACAAAGCAAACAGCAAAACACAAAAGAGACTCAACAAAGACAAAGCAGACAATAAAATACAGCATCGTAAGTTTAAAACTAACAGTTAAAAGCTGTTTGATAAAAGTGGGTTTTAAGAAGAGATTTAAAAGAGGATACTGATGGTGCTAGCCTTATCTCCTCGGGCAGGTCGTTCCAAAGCCGAGGAGCCCGGACAGAGAAGGCTCGGTTACCTTTCGTCCGGAGCCTCGACCTTGGAACAGTCAACAGGGACCTGCCCGAGGATCTAAGGCTGCGGGGGGGCTCGTAGGGGGTTAAAAGTTCAGAAATATAGCTTGGTGCCAGACCTAAACGAGCTTTAAAAGTAATCAGTAAAATCTTAAAATCAATTCTAAAACGCACAGGGAGCCAGTGGAGAGACGCTAAAACGGGTGATGTGCTCCCTTCTGTTAAAACCAGTGAGAAGTCTGGCTGCTGCGTTCTGGACCAGTTGGAGGCGGGAGAGGGATTTAGCGTTGAGACTGGAGAGAAGGGAGTTGCAGTAGTCGAGGCGGGAGAAGATGAGGGCGTTGACGACTTTATGGAGATCGGGAGGAGTGAGGATGTTTTTAATCTTTGAGATTGTGCGGAGGTGATAGAAGCAGGTTTGGGTGGTTTTATTGATGTGGGAGCGGAAAGTGAGGTGAGAATCAAAAATGACACCAAGGTTACGGGCGGAGGGAGTGATGTTTGAGGAAAGGGGGCCGAGGTGGGTTTGGATGTGGGATATAGATGGAGGCGGGTTGATGAGGAGGACTTCTGATTTGGAGGTGTTGAGCTGTAGAAAGTTATGGGCCATCCAACGGTTCACATCATTAAAACAGTCGACCACAGCAGCCAGACTTCCAGGGTCGTTTGGTCTCAGCGGGAGGTAGATCTGTGTGTCGTCCGCATAGCAGTGGAAGGACACGTTATGACGGGCCATAACGTGTCCTAGGGGGAGCATATAAATAGAAAATAAAATGGGACCTAAAATAGAACCTTGCGGCACACCACAGGTAATGGGGGCTGTAGAGGAGGTAAAATCACCCATGGTGACTGCAAAGGTTCTGTCTAAAAGATAAGAATGAAACCAACCAAGTGGAGTATCTCTGATGCCAACCCACGTTTTGAGGCGATCCAATAAAATCCTGTGGTCGATCGTGTCGAAGGCTGCGCTTAGGTCTAAAAGAATTAAAATAGAGCACCCTCCGCTGTCTGTGGTTAAAAGAAGGTCATTTAAAACTCTAAGGAGGGCTGTCTCTGTACTGTGTTGTGCTTTAAAACCTGATTGGAATTTCTCAAAGATGTGGTTCTCATTAATAAAATCTAAAATCTGAATTGAAACAATTTTCTCTAAAACTTTGGATAAAAAAGGAAGTTTTGAAATGGGTCTAAAATTGTTAAAATCAGTAGTGCTTAAATTAGGCTTTAAAAGTGGCTGGACCACAGCATGTTTAAAACTGGATGGGACAAGACCTTGGTCCAGGGACTGATTAATGATTGATAAAATGGAGGGTCCAACCACATTAAAAACATCTTTGAGAAATTTGGTGGGGATGACATCGAGGCTGCACGTGGTTGGTTTCATGTGGAATAAAATGTCAGATAAAAGAGAAAGGGATAAAGGCATAAAATTAGTAAAACAATTAAAATCCAGAGTTTCTCTGTCTATAAAAATTGCTTGGCTGGGAGCAGATATTTGGGCCCGGATATCAGTGATCTTTTTGATAAAATGATTTAAAAATTGTTCACACAGCTCAGTGGATGCATCATTAAAAACAGCAGGACTGGGGTTTGTGATAGAATTTAAAACTTGAAATAAAACTCTAGGATTTGAAATGTTTTGACTGATGGTATTTGAATAAAATAAGGTTCTTGCTTCCTTGACTACGTGTTGATATTGTTTGAGGCTGTCTTTCCAGGCGAGGTGAAATACTGTGAGTTGTGTCTTTTTCCATTTCCGTTCATATTGTCGGCAGGTGCGTAATAGTGTGCGAGTATTTTCATTGAGCCATGGTTGTGGTGTTCTGGCGGGGTTTCTTTGTTTAAAAGGTGCAATGGTGTCTAAAATCCTAAGTGATGTCTGATAAAAGGAGGAGACCTGCTCCTCCAGGCTAAAATGTTGGTTAAAAGTAGTCAAGGAAGCTGCGGTAAAAAGTTGGGAAAATTTAAGAGCAGAGGTGGAGTTAAAAACACGAGAGTGATAAAATGACCTGCTGGAGGCAGGCTGGGGGGCTAAAATAACGTCAAATAAAATAGCTAAGTGGTCCGACACACAGATATCCTTGGTGTTGACATTTCCTGCGCTGAGGCCAAACATTAAAACCAGATCCAGTGTATGGCCCTTAGAATGAGTGGGGACATTTACTATTTGGAGGAGTTTAAAAGACTCGATTAAATCAATAAAATCAGAGGTTAAAGGGTGTGGTTTGACATGATGAGCCGCCATGATCAGATTCGACGAACCCATCCAGACCGGATTTTGGAAATTTATATCAACTATAGTTTCTGATCTGAGAGACCAAACGTTTAAGAGAAATTCCTTTATTCGTCCTCCAGTGGGGAAATTTCAATGTTGCAGCGCACATACAGGACAGTAGTAAGGGCACACAGGGAGCACTCAAATACAAAATGCACAAATTCCCTGGTTCTCACAAACTGGGGTCTGTCTGTGAGGTAGTCCAGGATCCACTCAGAACTTAAATGGATGAATCTCAAACCGAGCTTCACTTTCCACATATGCACTTCACTCATATATTTTTGCCGTACAGAGCTTTGATAAATGAGGCCCATTGAGTTGCACTTCCCTGCATGAAATGTGCTTTATAAATGTTCATCTTAGTGGTGACTAACATTTTTAAAAGATCTTAAATATCACCAAAGGGAAAAACAATGAATTTTGTTTTCATGAATTAAAATGCCGCTTCTGTCACTATTCCTTTGTTTCCAGCACCAGTGTGTCTTGCCTGTCCCATCCACCACTCTTGTCTGGACTCCTCTGCCGCTCTCTCTGATTGGATCCCCAAACTGCGCCTGGACCAATGGGGTCGCGTGTCTGCAGCTCGTGAGGAGAAGGCGGTGCTGTCCTGGGGCTGCGGGTTCATTTGAGGTAACGCTCACAATCTTCCACGCTTTATGGGCAGAAATGTAATATTGTTCATGTTGGATGCAGGTGCACGGCGTTGGTGACTGAAATGCACGTGTTCATGGATGTTCTGTTGCCCTTACGCTGTTTTGTTTGATTGGATTCATACGAAGAAATGTAAAGTTTCCTTATGGCCCTAAGTGGAACTTTCAAAAGAAAAGCGTGCTTTGTGAGTGTTGACCTCATTATAGAGACATGTCCTGCTTTGTAGCGTTAAATAAGCGACTTCTAATGTGATGATATACAATTGAGAAGACTCAGTTTTGTTTTTAGACCATAATATTGAAGGCCATTGTTTATTTAATTTATTTTCTTGATAGGAAATGGTCTTATTAGTACGAAGCTCTTGACAGTAGTTATTCTTCGGTGTTGCCACTAATCTAAAAGGCGCATTTAACACAGACAAGATAGGCAAGATCATTTTAAAGTTGGATAATCATTTCCATTGTCCATTTGCGTGATACAAATGTGTTCGCACCGGGAACAGAAGTGAAATGGTCGAGAAAGTAAGTAAGTGAGTAAGAGAAAGGTAAGTCTTTCAGTAGACCACACAATAAATGATGTGATCAGTTCATGCTTGTCAAGTCGTGTTTCTGACGCCCAAGTTTACATACGGTTTTTAATAGCTCTGTTGGCCATGCATATTGTAGGAAGTATGGGCTCTGTTGGGCTGGGCACAAATCACTGACTGCTCAAACTATTACATAATACCCCTGAATCCAAAACTTTGGCGATTAGTTCTATTGTCTTCATGGAAACTAAAAGGATAGAAGTATTAGTACTCTTCAAAGTACTACTACGCCTTGAACCTTTGCCTATTTTGTAATGTTTACAACCAAAAGCATTTTATTTAGATTCAAAAATAGAAAAGTATAAAAGTGACAAAAAATCATGCAGAATTTTTTGTGTGCATTTAATAGTCTTCAAAACATTCCCAGTAACTGCTGAATGTTCACAGCTTGCCTAGAATAAATAGACCCCACCTGTGTGTAATCTACTCTCAGTATAGATTCTGAGAGTGTTTAGTGTGTGTTGGTCAATAAACACCTTTTTGAAGGCCAAAGGAACACATCAGTGAGGACAGGGATGGGGTTGTGGTATGGTGAGGTTAAAGCATGGTTAACTTACGTAAACATTTCCCAAGCTTTGAACATCTCGCATAACACTGTTCAATCCATTGTTCGGAAATGGAAAGAGTATGGCACAAATGCAAATCTACCAGTGCATGGCTGTCTGCCCAAACTCACAGCTGCAGGTATGAGGCCAATAGCTACTGTGGAGGAGATACAGACAGCCACAGTTCACCCGGGGGAATCTGTATATGAGATAAATATTAGTCAAACACTACACAAATCTCACATGTTATGGACCAGTGGTGAATAGAAAGCGTTGAAATAAAACCTTTAAAAATATGATCATCACCCTCACTCTTGTCAAGTATGGGGGTGGAAGTATCACGTTATGGGGTAGCTTTTGTCAGCAGGGACAGTGAGTGAATGATGGAGGTAGATGGAGCAAAAAACAGGACATCATTGGAGCTAGGGATTCCTCATTGTATTTACTGTATTCTAGATTGTAACAGAATCATCTATCACTTTTCTTTCACTTCAGTTGTCTGTGTGTGAACTTTCAGCTAAAATAATCTAAATACAATCTTTGTTTATGGCTGTAAACATGACAACATGGTGCAGTAGTACTTTCCAAAGGCACTGATAATGCTAAGGGGACGTGAGGTTTGAAATGAAATGTTTGCCATATTCCTTTGAAAATGGGCAAATATTTGTCTGCCTCGTTTGTCTACATTGTAACCACGCTGTTGACACACTGAAATGTGGCCTCAAGCAGTTCTTTGCCAGATTTACTCAAACTTCTCCTTATGGTTTGTCAAATAAACCTCCCTTAGCAATATCTAAGGAAGTACTTTTACGAAACTTCATATTCACATTATACCACAACCAAACTATTTCTAAAACAGCACTTTCTTGTCCAACTTTGGGTTAAATCAAATATTGCATGCAAAATTAGAAGACCCTTGTAGTGTTTTTAGATTTATTAAATCAAGCGGGATTACCTGACTTTGGAACCACAACAAATAACTACATCCATGTATCTAGTTCCTATCTCTCAAATCAATTTCTAGCTCTAGTATTCACATGCATCTTATTTTTACCTCACATGTTTCGATCAGCTTTTTCAGTGGACAAGGGAGCCCCCACTCAGATTTGTCAATCCAAACAACATAAAAACTAATTGGGTTCAGAAAAAATACAAAAGATAATATCCAAACTCATGTTTAATAAAAAGGATTGTTTATTTAAAAATTTTCAAAAAAACTTTGCCCCTCACAGTACAAATTCGACCCAGAGTGAGTTTAACACCTTTGCTCTAAATTCAACAATAAATTGAACTGCAGAGGAGGCTGTGTACCACCAGAAGGAGCTCAAGTCGCACCAGTGGCACATGGAGCCTGTAGTTGCATACTTTTTGTTTCTATTTGAATGATAAATGATAGGCCAATGTTATTTTGTTATTCACCAGGGTTCAAGATGCCGAGGGAGCCGCCCTGTTCACCAGCTGACACCAGCTCATCTGCTTCTTCCATTGAGAATGCAACAGACCAGAACAGTCCACACAGGCCTGATGAAACCAGAAAGAGCGGCTCGGAAAAGGACTCTGGGTATTCTGGTGAGTCTGTTTACTGTCTTTTGATTGATTGTTTATTTTGAGTTCAATGCACATTACATATGCATTCATTTGCATTGTCAATAGTTGTTTTATGATGCAATCTTTTATACATGTGTATCCATAATTCATAATACTGTATAGAGCGGTCCCTCACATATTTTACATTCATGTGGTGGAAGCCAACAGCAAGACAAGGTCTTTAGTACAGACCTTGAAAGAAATTCAAATGTTCATTTTGACAATACATAGAATTAATCAATATATTGTCAATCGTAATGAAGAAAAAAAACGGTGCATTTAAATTATTTTCTCTTTTGTAGACACCAGCTCAGAGTTGAAGCCCAAGAAGGATCGCAGCAGCAAAAAGTCCAGGGAAACCTCAGATGATTTTCCGCAAAAAGAACCACACAAAAATGGAAATCATGGAAATGTTGTCGTGGCTCCACCGACAGGGCAGCTGCCAACATTTTACATCATTAAAAATATGGTTGCTGAGCAGGTAAATACATGTTTTTATTATTGTAAAAATGCGTTTCTAAATATATATATATATATATTACATATTAATTATAAACAACAATGTCAATTTATTTAACCTACAGTATATGTTTTGATGTTTATCGCAGTGTGTTGCAAAAGTAGTTGTACAACAAACTTTTGCACCTTTTGCCATGATTAAAACCACAAGCTTAAAGATATTTTAGGGTTTTTGTGCACCATACTCTTTCCATTCCCAGATTATGGATTAAATACACTACCGTTCAAAAGTTTGGGGTCACATTGAAATGTCCTTTATTTTTGAAGGAAAAGCACTGTAGATAACTTTAATCTAGTCTTATTAACTGTAAAGAAATACACTATACATTGCTTATGCGGTAAATGACTATTCTAGCTGCAAATGTCTGGTTTTTGGTGCAATGTTGTAATTGCTGCAAATGGAGGATTCTTTGACGAAAGCAAAGTTGGATGTAAAACAAATCTTATTTCAAATACAAATCATTATTTCTAATCTTGTCAATGTCTTGACTCTATTTTCTATTCATTTCATAATGTATGGTGGTGAATAAGTGTGACTTTTCATGGAAAACACTTGGGTGACCCCAAACTTTTGAACGGTAGTGTATTTCTTTGGGAAAAATTCAAAGCTTCTATTACCTAACCACACTCTAAACTTCTCAACTTGATCCCTGATCTCTCTGTTGTCCTTTTGAACTTCATGATGCTGGTTAGGGACTAAATGCACTCTAAATCTAGCTCTATGGTCCTCAGAGCTAGGTTTATAGCCACAGCTGTGGTTTTACTGAGGGTACGTTTTTGTATTGTTAATTTTCTTAGAAAAAAAAAAGATAAAACTCTGGCGGGCTCTTTAATTTTTAGGGCAACATGTGAGAAGACGTCTTCTAATGCTGTTTTATGTTTTTTTTTCAGAAATTATGTATCAATTATGAAATTATACAAGACTATAGCCACTACAACTACTTTTTATTTAAAAAATAATTGTGTATCATTTTGCTTTTACTTCATAGTTGTTTTTTACTTGGTGCTCTTTATAATATTCATTTCTTGCCACTGTACACCTAATCTAATCTGTGTGTGTGTAACTACTTTCAGCCACACATTGTCCAGAAGAACCCGGTCCTCTGGTCCAGTCAATCTTACCCAAGTGGCTCTGGTTCAAACCCAGTCCTCCAGCTCCAGCCTCCAAACACAACGTCCACAGCCCAACCACAAACACCAGGTGCATCCAAAGCCATTTCCACCGGAAAACCAGAAACTACCGCTTTTCTGCCAATCCTAAACTCCTTTCCTCGCATCGCCCCTCACCCATACAAGAAACCACCTGACAAAACAACCCCAGCCGACTCTCTCAACCAAAGCAAACGTGTGTGCATTGAAAGTAATAATACACAGACCAATAAGAGTCTTCAGGGGCAACGCATTCCTGTCATCTGTTCCAGCAGCAGTGGAGCATCTTCCAACTATGGGACAGCGTCAACGCCCCGGCTTCCGTCATCCACCACACTGGACAAAACCAGCGTAGCGAACCCTCGACAAAGTTGCTTCATAAATACAGTGCAAGTGTTGAAGCAGTCGGGGCTTTTGGACATCGCTCTTCGCACCAAGAGGCTGGCAAGCGAAAGCAACGTGAGCGCCCGGGACGTCACACAGTTGAGGCAGCATTCAGAGTCGTTGTGTCAGTTGGCCAGCAGTTCCAAGCAAAACACCAGCAATATGGCGTCGTGGCTGGATCTACACAGAATCATGTCTGACTCTGGCAACTATCCAGAGCTCAAAGACGTTCAAGCTTTACAGGGGCAGAGTGCAGGTCCAAATGTCAGCGTTGTTAAACCATTAAGTCTGATTGGAGGTGTCAGCGATGGGACTATGGCTGCGGAAAAACCCTCTTCACCAAAACAAATGGATGGGAGCAGGGAGAGTGACTCGAGCACAGACAGTGATTAATTTCATGTTAAAAGTTTGTTGTGATCTTAAAGGTGGGCAACTTTTCTGATTGGACGCCCTCCCACCTGTTGACATGGAGATGATATGTCTTTGCTGGGATGGACGATTTTTTTTTTTTTACTGCTCTAACACATGACTACTTGCATTGAGGTCAGGTGTCTGCGCAAACATAACGCAAAGCTAAGTTAATCCTATTGTATTAACCTGTTTGTCTCCGATGTGTGGGAAATGTATTGCCGTACTCTGGAACATAAACAGCAGTTGGTGGTAAAAAAGTAATTGGTTACCAAATAACTTTACCCACAAGTAATTATGCTAGTAAATGCGTTACTGAGGTTATGTAATTTAGTTACCACTGGTTTACTAAAACGTATTTCACAATCAGGATGCATTCCCAAAATATGCAATGTTTAATCTTTTTTTTGTGGTTGCTCAATGGGCAAGTTGATAAACCAACGAAATCAAGAGAAGGCAATCCGTTAGTTTAACCAAAGAGTGTATCTGCTTCTGGCTGTTTATTTTCAGTCAAAATAATGATAAAGTGAATGAGACAGCTGACCACTGCTGCGATTGTTAACAGCAAAAGCAATTAGATCATTAGTGTTATACTTAAATGTTGCTCTCAACACTGGACCCAAGCAAAAAGCAAAACCCTTCTCCTCCAGGAAAGTTGAAAAGTGCACCTTTCATTTTGTTCTATGTAGCATTTCAACTGTGCCACCGGAAAGCATTAAACACAAATGTTTGTTGAAAAGCCACTGGTCAGTGTTAAAGATGAGCAGATGAACCAATGTTCGCATGATTTAAGCAAATGTTTAATTGTCCATTGGAAATTCAGGGATCCAAGTTATAACAAGTACTTGTATAGTCTTATGTTTTTATGCCACATTATGGGAGCTTAAAGGGGGAAAAAACCCCAGTTCATGTAAAGTTACAAAGGGCAAGTTCTTCCATTGTGGTTTATAAGAATGCATTTTCAGGGGCTAAACTGCGCTGGCAGAGTAGTCAGGACACTCTGCTGCGTCGCTGCATGCTTTGAATAGTTTGCAGTATTAATACTGTTTACATTGTATTAAAACAGTCCGTTTTGGCACTTGATTTGACCTAATCATTTAAGAACGCAATCTTATTGTTGCCTCTTTTGCATGAGCTTTCAGGTTTCTACCTAAATGCCAAAACCAGTACATGCACAGCAAAAGAATGGAAAAATCAAAAGTGAAAGCTGAAACGCATTTCTCTGCTTTATCAGCAATATTGTGTTTCTGAATGAGCTGGGGATTTACTTTTCTTCTCCTGCTTTTTTGGTCAGGCACAAACCACCCGTTTTGGTGCCTTTTTAACTTAATTGTGTAACCTTTCAAATAAAAGTTGGCTCCAAACTCTGAAGTGCTTCAAATAGTCTTTAACTTGTTATGTGAATTTATTTTGTACACTTAATGTGAACTATACCCTCACTTGAATATTTGTTTTTGCATGTGATATTGTGTGCAGTGTAACAAACCACCTCCAACTTTGTGAAGTTTTTCACTCTTTTATTTAAATAAAGTACTGTTTCTTCATTTGTAGAAAGTAAATCAATTTCCCAAATAACATGCAGTTGCTAAAGCTTTTGTTTTGTTTCTCTTTACACCAGTTTTAACGGCGGTCTTCACTTTGGTTCAGTTCCGTAACCTTTAGCTCTGTGTCATATTTAGGGGCCGGTGAGTACTCTACACTCGGCCTGCACAGATTGATGAACCTCTGTAGAAAAAAAACAAGGAGAAAAAAAATATGAATTTGTTATATAAGCTGCAGAGGCCCTAAACTACCACAATATTGGGGGATGAAGAGTTGCTGATCAAGACTCACTATTATACAATCAGATGGAAATGGGGGCGACAGTGGATCAGTTGGTAGAGCATTGGCCTTTGAGCCTGAAGGTTGTGGGTTCGAGTCCACCGCAAGACTGTTGTGTCCTTGGGCAAGACCCTTAACCCACTTTGCCTATAAGGAGTGCGGAAGTAATGTCTGCTGCATGGCTTGCTGCATGGCTTGATGCCCATGACCTGTCTTGGGTCCCCCCTGCCACGTCCACTCCATCAAGAAAGAATGGGGACACGTCCCTTTGTTTTTCATCCCCGCCTTCACTGTTAGACCTACCTGAACACTCTGCAGGGCTAATAAAATCGGCGATGAAGACTATTCCTCTCACACTCATATTGGCTAGATCAAGAGTCCTGTCCAACATTCAAAACCACTCCCCATATGTACCTCCAAAACCACCTAGGGTTTCCAATTCACCTACAAAAACCACCTCAGCCAGTCCCTCCCCTAACCTCACGACCATTCTACCCCCACTTCCCCCTCGTTCAACATCCAAAACCTCTGCCTCAGCCCACCCCGGCCCTAACCCATCACTAAAAACCCCTCCACCTCCCTGCCCCCCTCGTTCAACACCCAAAAGCCACCCACCTCTCCATCCTCCTCCCCCGTTTTCCCCTTCCCCTCTTATCTCTAAACACTAGGATGCACAGGGTCTCTGCTTCGCAGCCACTGGCAGTCTAGTTAGAGGAGAGACCCGGCTGGGGCCCTGTCATGAAGCCACCTGTGCCATTCCCTTAGTGATAACACAAAGAATACATTACAGAAAGACATCTGGAGTTAATCAGTCTAATCTGGAAAATCTAATTCTTGTTCCGTGTAAGAATCAGCCGACCACAACCGCTGATACTGAAACTGTCAGATTTCTTTGTAACAAGTCTTTTTGAATCAATAATTAGGCCCGAGCCCCAACCGGGGTAAGGGCCTATTGCTTCGCCCAGGTATTACTCGTTGAACTGTCATAAGTCACAATCTCCGGGCGCAGCGCGGAGATTGTGACCAGCACGCGACGGCACGTGCCCAGACACTGATAAATCCGTGCCGGAGGCACGGAATGGCTTTGCTCCTGCTGTAGTACACAGTGAAATGATTGAGGTCCTATTAAAGGGGGGTTCTTTCAACGGTCTTACGGACGACCCAAGCCCGACGGCGCGTGCCCAGACACTGACAAAACAGTGCCGGATCACCGAGAACCCAATAGTTGCGTTCGTCTGGTCGTTCGCTTTAAAACGACGTATCATTTGTATTATAGGTTACTATGGAAACCTATATTGTTTTTGCTCGAAGATTTAAAAAAAAAAAATCCTTATTTATTTTTTATTTATTTCTTTCTTTTTGCTTCTGCACTTTGAGCCTTAATTTGACCCCCTGAACATTGATGAAAAGTTGTGAAATTTTGCCCAAAATTCAGAACCGGCGAAAAATTAATTTTTTTGGTGTTTATTTTTATGGGACTAAAAAAATGTCAGAATAGCGCCCCCTACAAAAGTCAGTTTACATTGCGCCTATGGGAGCAAGTCCGAGGTCAAGTTTGTTGTAGAGCCACGAAACTCGGTACACATGTTCCTCAGGTCAAGTCATGAAAAAAAAGTTATTATGGCTCCGCCCCCTGACAAACAGGGAGCTCATTAACTCATTGTGTCCCATTGACGCACAAATACGTCAATTGCCTTTTTTGCTATTTTCACGTTCCCAGATGTCTATTGTATCTAATATGTATGGGGATGACTTGAGACCATATTTTATCGAGCCAGCAGGTGGCAGCATTGCTCTCTGAATGGTTTGAAAACATGTAGGTGCACATGTTGTGCCTCTTTTTTCTCAACTTTCTGGTGATTTCTGGTGATTTCAGTAAAACTTCCCTCTACTCGACGGAGGATTACAGGGGAACGAAAAAAGCTATAAACAAAATTCTTTTTGCTGAGGAAAGTAGACAGTCCATTCTTTTAGAATCTGGTGTCGGATTTCAGATAGTCATAGTACACAATATTCTGTGGGTCTTGAAAAATCAGTAAAAATCATCAGAAATGGCTGGCACTGTGGGAGTACCTGTTCTGAAATAGGCTGGTATTCAATGAGTTAATTTAATTGGAAAATGGAAAAATGAAAATTGATATTTTTCACACGTCAGTTGGAAATTATCTCCTCCTCGGCCGTTTCACCGGTTTGTCTCAAAATCGCTCCACATGGTCTAAACACATGTACCATCAATTATTGAATATAGAATTTGGATCAGTCAAACGTCGTCCGAGCAGCGGAGCGGCAAAATGTGACATTTTTTTTTCAATTTTTGACAAAAGTAAATTTGCTCCCATTTGCACAAAAAAAGTCAGATTTGCACAAAATTTTAATCCATTGTTCAGCTCCAGAGTCTAGGTCATTTGAAAGTTTAAATATTTAAATTGGCTCATTAGCGCCCCCTACAGACTATGTGAAAGTTTTACATGGACCTAAAAAAAATTAGTTTTTTCAAAATGTTTGAAATTGTGCACATAATTCTGTTTTGGCATCTGGATTCAAAAAGTCAATGACAACATATCATTATTTTTTACCCTGTTGCCGTGGCGACGACCAACACTCCCCTGTCTGTGTTTATGGGAAAATCGTTAAATCTCTGAAAAGTACACCTCGCTCAAACATCAAACCAGCTGCGGCCGTTTCATTAATTTGTCTGAAAATCATTCCACATCGTCTCAACACATTGACCATCAATAGTTGAATATAGAATTTGAATTAGTCAAACGCTCTGCGCGTGACAGACCCCCAAAGTGTGGTTATTTTCATAGAGAGGTGTGAAGTTCCCATGTTATCCAATGGAGACTCTATGGACACACTCAGATTGTATGTGCAAACAGGAGCACATTCACCAAACTTGACTCTGTTGTTCAACTCCTGGGCCTAGGTCACATGACAGTGTGAACAATGACATTTGCTGATTAGCGCCCCCTACAGGCTAAATAAAGGTGTACATGGGGATAAAAGTATTTAGGTTTTCTGTTGTTTGATCTCATATTTGACCCCCTGAACATGCATGAAAACTTACCAAATTTTGCCACAAGTTTTGTTTTCACATAACATGCATTATTTTGGTGTTCATTGGTATAAGACTAAAATAAAAAATATATAGGGGGCGCTGTTCTACACAGTGAAAGCCACCGTTTGCACATACAAAGTCCGATTTACACCAAATTTTGAAACGGTTGTTCAACTTTTGGGTTTGGGTAAAGTAAAAGTCTAAAACATGATATTGCAGCAATAGCGCCCCCTACAGACGCTTTCAAAATTTTACGTACTTAGTTTGTTCAAAATGTTTGAAATTTTGCACAAAATTCTGTTTTGTCATCTGGATTAAAAAAGTGAATGACAACATATGATTATTTTTTACCCTGTTGCCGTGGCGATGACCAACACTCCCCTCTCTGTGTTTATGGCAAAATATTATATATATATATATTATATATATATATATATATATATATATATATATATATATATATTAGGGCTGTCCAAAATAGCGCGTTATTAACGCGTTAACGCAAATCAATATTAACGCCGTCATTTTTTTTATCGCGCAATTAAAAAAAAAAAAAAAAAAAAATAGAAACAAAGAAAAGGACTAGTTCAGATACATTGTAGACAGAGATTACAAACAATATGTAGTTGGAGATACAGGGGGCCAAAGAAGAAACCCAGAAGGGCACATAGGAGGGGGGGGGGGGGGGGGGGGGGGCATGAAGTGGGAGATGGGGGGAGGGGTTAATAAAAAAGGCAATACAAGCAAACAGTATACAGTCATAGATATACCGAAGGTAAACAGAAACAGCATAGAGTATTCACATGAACAAATTTACAAAATATTTACAGATTGTTTATCATCATCATAATGACACCATGATGTTTCTATACAGTCTATGGTCTATACCCACACATACACACACACACCCACACACACACATTGAAGGGGCTTTTTGTTACCAATTATTTATTTTGTCATCCATTTATTGATGATTTTGCATCAAATGTTAGTGTGTAATATAACACTACACCTTGTTTTCAATAAAAAAAAGCAATTGCACACAGCACGCAAATGTGTGACTAATTTGCGATTAATCGCGAGTTAACTATGAAATTCATGCGATTAATCGCGATTAAATATTTTAATCGTTGGACAGCACTAATATATATATTATATATATATAAATATACATATATATATATATATATATATATATAACAGGAGCACATTCACAAACTCTGATTTGCACTAAACTTGACTCGGTTGTTCAACTCCTGGGCCTAGGTCACATGACAATGTGAACAATGGCATTGGCCCATTAGCGCCCCCTACAGGCTGAGCAAAGGTTTACATGGGGATAAAGGTATTTAGGTTTTCTGTTGTTTGATCTCATATAGGGATGTAAATCGGCGACCGTTTAACCGGTGGTTGACCGTCACAGCGTTAACCGGTCAAAGCTGTCAGTTAAAAAAGAGAAAAAGGGGAGAGGGGAGTGTGAGATTTCATAACACTCTTAAGCAACTTTTGTTGGGGTTGAACTCGTCGTTCTATCGGTGTGCAGAAGCCAGTACTTTTCCCTTGTTTTGTCTATCTGAAGGCCAAGCTACAAGCACACCGTGGAAGCTGCTGATTGGAGGTCTCCATGTCTCCGCTCTGTATAATACACTTGCATTCTCTTGTATCTGTGATCGTGTGCTTTGTTTGTGCTGTCTCTACCATCGACAATAAAACATGTCTTCTGTCTGAATTTAAGACGCGATCCCAGACTATGTCATCTTCTTCAGGTGGTGGAGGATTGCGGGCCTTGTCTGTAACATCTAGAGAACAGAAGACTTTTTTTTTTTACACAAAAAGTGTTTTTTTTTTAAGCCAAAACTGAGAAACCTCAAGAGAATGCATCTGGATCAGCACATGGACAATCTGCACAGCCCCTGATTCCAATCAGGCTGTGAGCTGCTGAGACATGGACAAGACCATCGTCCTCTTTTGCATGGACACCATTTGGAACCATTGGATTACACAATTTGGACATAATTTGGACTGAATTGGATTGCTGAATCTGGACACTAAAGCTGAAACGTGTGATTGAAAGACACGTCACAGAAGAATTCATGGCTCGACACAACAAATGCAGCCTGAAGAAATCAACACAGAGAAGTGGGAGAGACTGTTTTCAAAGCAATATCTGGAACCACCATCGACTGATGAAGTTTGGTATTTTACTGAAGATTGTTGACAAGTTTTATGAAAGATCTGAACATGTTTTATGAGTTTTCTGAGTTTTTGAAGTATTCCGAGTTCTGAGTTTTTTGAGGTACCGAGTGAAGTACCGAGTTTATGAGTTTTTGAAGTATTGAGTTATGATGTTATGTTGCTGTTTATCGATCCTGATGGTCACACGTGAATGTATGACCAGAGGGGGGAATGTGAGATTTCATAACACTTTTAAGCAACTTTTGTTGGGGTTGAACTCGTTGTTCTATTGGTGTGCAGAAGCCAGTACTTTTCCCTTGTTTTGTCTATCTGAAGGCCAAGCTACAAGCACACCGTGGAAGCTGCTGATTGGAGGTCTCCATGCCTCCGCTCTGTATAATACACTTGCATTCTCTTGTATCTGTGATCGTGTGCTTTGTTTGTGCTGTCTCTACCATCGACAATAAAACATGTCTTCTGTCTGAATTTAAGACGCGATCCCAGACTATGTCATCTTCTTCAGGAGGTCTCTTAATAACGCTATTTTAAGGCCTATTTGCACGGTGTGACGAGCGGGTCCATATCTAGCTGTGTGCGCCAATGTATTATAAACTCCGGGACGACTCTCACGCCGCACGAGCCACACACACACACACACACACACACACACACACACACACACACACACACACACACACACACACACACACACACACACACACACACACACACACACACACACACACACACACACACACACACGTTTTTGTTACCTGGTGGGTCCCTTTGACAGGGCCGTTCAGAATGGGACCCATAGACATAATCTTTTTTTACCAAGACTTTAAGTAATACAAAACAGTCAATAGAAACCAAACAACTATTTTAAAGGAATTTTATTTTAGATTTTGTTTTCGAATTGCAGTGATTCTATTTTTGACATAGAATTTAATGCCACTCCATGTCCGATGTCTAAGGTCATCTGGTGAGGCATTAATGCAGGCCAGGCAGTGAGACTTCCCAGGGACCTTTCCAGTCTGTATGAAAGGTGTCATGGTCTTCTCCACAGCCTTCACCTCAGATGCAGACCATGGCTTTCTTACACGTTCTAGGGAGAGAAATAAAAATATATTAGCAATATACACTCCCAGGGTGAGGACCAAGCAGCCTGGCTGTAATCCCCCACCTGGTACACTTACCAGAAGGGGCACTGCCACTACCATGGGGTGCATCTGGATGAATGGTTGAAGGTTCTCCGCTTGAAGTTTCTTTTAGCCCGTCCGTTTGTGAGAGGATCTCTACTGCTCTCCCTGTCGCACAGAAAATAAAAATACAAGTGGCCTTTAGGGGAAAAAAATCATACATATTTTAATAATATCAAGAATTACCTTCAGGCTCAATTTGTATCTGGTCGAGGCTCTTTCCTTCGAATTCCGTCACTCTTCCCTGCTCCATGGCCATCAACACTTTGCTGATTTTGGCCAGCTCCAGTGTCCCCTCTGGTAGTCTGTAATATTGCCTGTGGATGCGAATGTCATGGCCGAGGAAGTTGGCAAGTATGTCCATCTCATTCTCTTTCATATTGAGAACTGTAGACATAGTAGCTATGTGCTTTCTAAGTTTGGTTGAGGATAGCATCTCTGGATGCACCGCACCACATTCTTTGGCTACCTGGCGTAGGGAGTCTGATCCCCTGATGTGGGTGTCTGCGCCCGGGCGGGAAAAGAAGTATGGGTTATGGTCAGAGATGGAACAGGCCCTTCTGTTCTCCACCAGCACCTCCATCGAAGCAATCATTTCAGGAGTCAAAAGAACCGGCACTTTCCGACTTCTTTTCCCTTTAATTTCAATGCGTTGAAAATGCTGACACAGCTTTTTCTCAAGTTGGGACAGTCCCAGAGCAATGTCAGAATGGATCCCAGTCTTACTTCTTAAGGTAAAGGCTGTCAGTGGCATCTTTGAAACCTCACCTTCCCTTCTTCGATTGAAAATGATGACCTCACAAAGAGTCAAAACTGCCAGTTTAGACCAATGCTTAGACGTTGGCTCACTTATTAGGGTTTGCACATATTCAGGTCGACATACCTCAATATGTGCATGCATGGCTCTAACGTCCTCAGTCAGAGGGAGCAGGTCCGGAGTGTTCCACTTGGCTTGCCGGAGGGTCTGTAGGGCAGCAGAAGAAACACAGACGTCCCACCTCTTCTCAAAAAGCAGCCGGCTTCGTTGGAGGTTTTTAATAAATAGTTCATCAACACAATGCTCCATTTTTGAGTCACATTCAAGAATATCTGCTAGCTTTCTGAGGCTATGGCCGAGTTTGAGGGCCAAGGATGGAGTCTTGTATTGATTTGTTTCCTCATCATATCCAGCCACAGACCTGACTGCATCAATCACATGGTTAAAGTTGGAAGGAATAAAGAAATCCTTAATTGTTTTCAGTTTCCCTGCGGTTTTTGCTTCGTTAATTAACCTACCGACTTCTCTCATTTTCTGCCTAATGTAATCATGTTTGTCTTATCATGCCCGTGTTTTAAGTACAGGTGCTCTCCGAGTCTCAGAATCCCCTTTTCTGCTTTGACAACACCCGTGACCTCATCCTGATGCATTGCCGAAATTAAAGACCACAGCTTTTTGCTGATGCCCTCCGGTACAGGCTGGGCTAGGGAGCAGAGGGACTGGACCCTACTTCTACCTGGTTTAGCCTGGGCATCTTTCTGTGAAAGCCGGCACCTGGCCACATGCCTCCACAGCGACTTTCGCTTAAGCAATGCCCCACAGTCTATACAGTGCAAAAACTCACTGGATTTAACTGGGCAATTTGGCTGTTTAGCTGGGACTAAAGTTCCAATGCCGGCCTTTAAAACCTCAAAATTGTGCTCACGGTTTCCACTATTCCTGATCAAATCAAACTGAAGTTTACGTGCTTTAGATTTCACAGGTAGAGCCAATGCTCTGGCTACGTCACTTTCATTTCCATGTTTTCTAGTCAAATGACGGGACATTTTGTGGCAGGACATTGAACAGTAGAGGCAGAAGTGTCTCTTGCTGTATACTCGCCCCCCATTTTTCTTCTTTTGCAGCTGCATGATAACAATCTTATTTGCCTTTGGTTCGTCACTTTCCGAGTCTTGAAGAAAAGTGTTTTTGATTTTTCTTTTTCCATACTTTTTTACAGGTTTCTTCTTGACAGTTAAATCGTCAGAATCTGAGTCGACTTCATCAATTAGGGACTCTTGACTAAGCTGCACAAACAACAAATAATTTGTAATCATTCTATATAACAATTTGAAGTCATGACTTGTAGTCAGCACTTACCAGTGGTTTGTAAGCGTGCGCTTCAGTGTGCTCCTCCATGATTTCTTGCAGCCTAATGAACCACACACTTGCACCTTTTTCTAGCCTGACACCTGATTTCCTCTGTTGTGCTGCTCCATGATTGGCTCCAGCCTGCTGGACTGAAATTGCCCCAGTGTGCCCCTCCTTGATATCCCGCAACCCACCACCAGGGTTCCGACACATAACACACTTTTTTCAGGAAAGTAAACCTCCAGGGGTCCTTTCCATATTTTTACAGAGACTGCATAAGGACCGTTAGAAAAGCATTACCCATTGATTATTAAGCTTGGACCAGTGGGGTCCGGTGTTCGGGCCCCACCACGTAAAACCAGTCCCCATGACGTGAGTGGAATCTCAGGTTATGGAACCCACCAGGAGTTGAAAACAAGTGCACACACACACACACTTTCCCCCTCTCCATACGTAACATCCACACGCATCATCTCTCCCCTCTGTTACCGTCAAAGTTGCACACTGGCGCGGGTCAGAACTACATTGGAGCTTACATTTACACACACACACACATATACATACACACACACATACATACACACACACATACACACACACATACACACACACATACACACACACATACCGGTCTGTCGCGCTCCTCTGTGTCACGGAGCCCAAAGGATTCGCGCAAATACACGGCTCCAGTCAAACCACATGGAACATGTTTGTGTTTATGGTCCTCGGGATCAGCTCCACACACATCACTTGTATTTAAACTTTTGTGAAGACCTGTGAGACGCGGCTCGTCACTCGCTGCTCTGACCATGTGAACGAGCCGTCGTTTGCTGCTAGAAAGTTTTGGTATTAACCCGCAGCACAGCAGAATGGGAAGATTAAAAAAGCAGTTCTCTGTGCGCAAAGGTGCCGGAGCTGTTGCGGGTTTGGGCGCCGCTGTCTCAACTCTGATCCAGTAGAACGCAGAGCTGCACTTATGAAAAGTACGCGGCTCGAAATGGCTGTTATTTCAAAGAACGTGGACTATTTTAAACTACGCGGTTAACCGGTTTCAACCGGTTAATGAGGCTCGGTGGTCGGTCATGAAAATTCATAGTTTTTTACATCCCTAATCTCATATTTGACCCACATAACAAACACAAAAACTCACCAAACTTTGCCACAAGCTTTTTTCAGGCATAAAGTGTATTAGTTTGGTGTTCTTTGGTATAACACTAAAAAAATTTAATTATAGGGGGCGCTATTGTACAACATTAAATAACACCATTTGCACATACAAAGTCCGATTTGCACAAAATTTGAAATGATTGTTCAACTCTTGGGTTTGGGTAAACTGAAAGTGTAAAAGACGAAATTGCAGCAATAGCGCCCCCTACAAACTGAGTCAAGTATTACATGGGGAGAATGAGGTTTACCTTTTCAAAGACACACACAATCACTGATCATAGGCATTCAAGATGCACAGTGTCGCTCCCATCAGGGGGGTAGGAAAATGGCGCGTCAGCGCCACCTCCTTTGCGCGGTGCGGCGAGGGCCGTTAGATGCCGCTTGCGGCTTTAATTTTATTTGTTCTCATAATCTTGATCTTATGTTCATGGCTGAAACATGGCTTGACCAAAATTCAGGAAATGCAGTTTTAATAGAAATACGGGAAAACAAAAAAGGAGGAGGCTTAGCTGCCATTTTCAGAGACCACTTTGTCTCCCATAGAATGTCTCTTGGGAAGTTTTCGTCATTTGAATATGTGTCTTTTAAAATACAACAAAAACAATCTCCAATACTCTTCATTGTCCTATACAAGCCACCGCAGTCATATCACAGTTTTATTGATAATTTTACTGAGTTGCTTTCAGTTGTATGCACAGACTTTGATAGTTTGGTTATTACAGGTGATTTTAATATTCATGTGGATAATGTTAATGACAGAAATGCAAATGAGCTGAGTTCTGTTCTTGAATCCTTTGGTCTCACTCAGCATGTGAGTGGCCCCACCCACAGCAGAGGGCACACTCTAGACCTGTTAGTTACTAAGGGGGTGAATATTTCAAATGTAAACGTGGTCAATGTTGCTCTTTCGGATCATTTCTGTGTTTATGTGTTTCACTAACAAACCACCAGTGGACTCTGCAACTGTTCGAAGAAGGCGCATAAATGAAAATACGAGTGATCTATTTATGGGAATGATAAACTTTGAGAATGCATCATATTCTACTGTAGATGAACTGTTTAACTCTGTTACCTATAGTGTTTTGAATGTTCTGGATACCGTTGCCCCTGTGAAGGTTAAAATAGTGAAAAATAAGCAGAAGGCGCCGTGGGCTAAAGCAGACTTGGTCAGGGCACAAAAGAGAAAGTGCCTGAGGGCCGAGCGGAAGTGGCGCAAGTCCAACCTCCAGGTTGATTACGAGATCTTCAAAGATAAGTTGTGCGAGTTTAACCGGGTGCTACGTAGTACGAGAGAAAGGTATTTTTCTGAAATGATTGAAGGCTGCAGCAACAATTCTGCGTGTTAATAGATTAACAAACCCCCCTGTTCAGCTGCCATTAGCGCTAACTTCCAAACGTAAATGCAATGAGTTTGCAAATTTTTTCAATGACAAGGTTCAAGGCACCAAAAACGCCATTGTCTCCAATCCACAGATAACAATCCAACAGCCAGAAAGGCTCTTTGAGCTAACTCACTTTGCACCTGTAAATGATCAAACTGTCCAAGGGATAATCTCCAGTCTGAGCGCCTCCACATGTAGCCTGGATGTACTACCCACTAGATTTCTGAAGTCTGTTCTGAGCAGTCTGTTACCTTCACTCACACAGATAGTAAACATGTCCCTTCATTCTGGAATATTCCCAAAGGCCCTGAAAACTGCAGTCATCAGGCCCCTGCTAAAAAAGAGCAGTCTGGATGCTACGGTACTTAACAACTATCGTCCCATCTCAAATCTGCCATTTATGGGGAAAGTCCTTGAGAAAGTTGTCTACCTACAGCCTACTAGATTTCTTATAATCAACAACTCATTTGATATGTTTCAGTCCGGCTTTAGACCCCACCACAGCACTGAGACTGGTCTCGTCAAGGTTACAAACGATATCCGGCTGAACACTGACGCAGGCAAAGTCTCAATCTTAATCTTGTTAGATCTGAGTGCTGCCTTTGACACCGTCGATCATGAGATCCTCTTACAGAGATTAGAGGACTGGGTTGGCGTCGCTGGCACCGCCCTAAGTTGGTTTAGGTCTTACCTTGAAGACAGGAAGTACTTTGTGGAGATTGGAAACTGTGTCTCAGATCATATGGCCCTGACCTGTGGAGTACCACAGGGGTCGATCCTGGGACCTCTTCTGTTCAATCTCTACATGCTGCCGTTAGGTCAGTTAATCCATGCATTTGTCTCCAGTAGGTTAGACTACTGCAATGGTCTGCTCACAGGTCTGTCTAAACAGGCTGTAAAACTGCTGCAGTACATTCAAAATGCAGCAGCTCGAGTCCTGACTAGAACCAGGAAGTACGACCACATTAGTCCAGTTCTCAGGTTCCTGTGGCTCCGAGAATAGACTTTAAAACAGCTCTGCTTGTGTACAAGTCTCTCCATGGCCTCGCACCAAAATATTACTGACATGTTAGTCCCATATGAACCAGCCTGGACTCTGAGGAGCACAGGGACTGGACTCCTGTTAGTGCCCAGAGTCAGAACTAAACATGGGGAGGCTGCATTTCATATTCATGCTGCTAAAATCTGGAACAATCTTCCTGAAGATGTGAGACAGGCCTCCTCAATGACAATGTTTAAAACCAGGTTAAAGACAGTTCTGTTTAGCTGTGCATACAACTGAGGGATTTTATATTTTTATCTTTCTTTTTAATGTTCTGTGATTATTTATGATTTTAATGCTTTCTTATTTTGTTCAGCACTTTGAATTGCCTTGTGTATGAATTGTGCTATATAAATAAACTTGCCTTGCCTTGTATTCATCGAAACTGAAATTTCCGCACTGTGGGACTAATAAAGGACCTCATTGACTGCCAGCCGTTTTTGATGATTTCACTGATTGTCAAGACCCACATAATATTATGCTCTATGTCTATGTGAAAAATGAAACCAGATTCTGAAAGATTGTATTGTCTACTTTCATCAGCAAAAATAAGTTTGTTTCTAGCAAGTAAGTAATCTTTATTTATATACCGCCTTTTCACTGCACATCGGAGTCTCAAAGCGGTTTACAATTGTTAGTTTTGGGAGTGGGGGTGCCAGTACAGGAGGCACATGCCAGACCTATTGTACATATTTTTAGTGGTAGGGGAAACCGGAGCACCCGGAGGAAACCTACGCAGACACAGGGAGAACATGCAAACTCCACTCAGAAAGGCCCTGGTCCAACCGTGATTCGTACCTAGGACCTTCTTGCTGAGAGGCGAGAGTGCTATCCACTCAGCCACCGTGCCGCCCAGCTAGCTATTTCTATTGTCCTGTAATCCCCAGTCAAATAGAGGGTCTCAGACAAATATGTCAATGGCAGTCAATGAGTTAAATTGGGGTTGAGTAAACAGCTAGTACAATCCTTAACCCATCTGTAATTTGCCAATGTTAACCTAACAACCAAATTTTCATTTAAATTAGTCTTGGGCTTATGAAGTTGTACAATTGCTTACTGATGTGGACTATTTTTTACAAGAGGCCAATGCTGTACAACATTTTGTGTCAAGAGTCATTCATAATAACAAATGACCGAAACCACATTGCTAAAAAACTGTCCATATTACTCAAAAACATAACACTACTAAGATAATTTATTGTTTAACCGCACACATGGCTAAAAGAGTCACACTCATAAGCCTCTTACTTGTTTCAATGTCCCAGACTGAGTGGTCATTTTGAAAAGGGCCCACCCTGGTACCAGCACCGTGGAGGAGAAGGCCAGCACCCAGCCCACTGTGTATGCCCAGGGCGGGTACACATACCAGCGGTTAAACGTGAGAGGCTGATACTCCACCAGGGAACAAATGAAGGAGACCTGCACAATAATGACAGCATCAAGTTTGTTTCAGTTTGTAAATATGAGGGCAGACTCACCAGTGACACTCCTGGAGTGAGAAAGAGCCAGCAGATTTTGAAGTATAGATTGGGTGTGGAGCCTGTCATGTCCTTAATGATCCCAATCATTTTCTCTGCACCTTTGTAGAAAAACAAGAGGATTTAACAGTTTTCATAAACTGTTTTTTAATATAACTTTTTTTCTTTCTTGTCACTCACCAAAGATCCATCCAAGAGCTATTGTCTCAAAGACACACAGAAACAGAATGCAGGTCCCGTTACAGGCGTAATAATCAAACAACTGGAAGACGTACATCCCTCCCTGCAGAAAACCAAACGTGAGTAATGATGTTGTGTATCGAGTGAATGAAGACTCGCCTCAGTGATCATGACGAGCTGCAGGATGAAGCATGTGACGCAGAAGAGTAGAAGGAAACCCTCACGACGCCCAGAGCGACGCATCACAGACGGAAACATGTCTATGACAGAAGTCATGATCACCTCCATGGCAACAAACTGGACACCATAAAAAAAAACGTTATTTGGGACAAAAATGATAATTGGCCCATGTGAAGAAGATGGCATAGTCTGGGATCGCGTCTTTCATTCAGACAGAAGACATGTTTTATTGTCGATGGTAGAGACAGCACGAACAAAGCACACGATCACAGATACAATAGAATGCAAGTGTATTATACAGAGCGGAGGCATGGAGACCTCCAATCAGCAGCTGCCACGGTGCCATGTAGCTTGGCCTTCAGATAGACAAAACAAGGGAAAAGTACTGGCTTCTGCACATTGATAGAATGATGAGTTTAACTTTAACAAAAGTTGCTTCAAAGTGTTATGAAATCTCACAGATTTATTAGAATAAAATGTATGTTTAAGAATATGGCTCAATAGAATCAAATATGCAAACATATTTGTGAATAGATTAGAATAGTTTTAAACTATAGTGAATAGTGAAAGTAAAGTACACAGTCTAAGATTGAAAAGTGATAATAATACAGTGAAATAAGTGTAGTGTAAACAATTATCATTAGAATAAAAGTATAGAGTAATAAAAGTGAAATTAGCTTCAAATTTGAGACTCAGCTCGTTTTTGTCTGTGTTTTGACTGAATCTGCTGAGTTCTTGTGTGTCCAATAGTGTTTGTTTGTTTTTTATTTTTGATTTGTTTTTGTTTGTTTTTGTTTGTTTATTTTTTCCCAGGATGGAGGATAAAATCCACTGATATTGATTTGATGATTATGAGTTTAATGCATACATTTTCTTTGTTTTTAATAATTTTTTGAAGTTTTTTTTTTGAATTTTTGTTTTCTTTTTCCATTTTATTGATTGATCGATTTGAATGATCACATGTGATTATGTGATCAAAGGGGAGGGTATTAGTATTAGATAGCAATATGGCCTACGTGCAGGACTGTACAAGGACTCTACAAGGACTCCATGTTATGACTATGATGTGACTGTCTCTTTGTGACACGTATGTCTTTCGATGTGTGACGTGACAATGACTATATAAACTGTGTACTGCCTTTATTCTGTTGAGGAAAAGAAACAGAGTAAACCAGTGGAACTTGACAATGAAAAACTTAAATAAAACTTCCAGAGTTTGGCACACCACGATCCGTCTCTGTCTGCTTAAATCCTAACACATGTTAGCTATTGAGGAAAAGTAAATTAAACAATACACCAATAATTACAGAAATATGGTTAAAGAATAATGTTACTTGAGTGTCCAGGCCCAAAGGAGGAGCATTACAAAGAAGCAAACAGCCACAGCTGAGGCAGGGGCATCATGGCGATAGCCTGAGGGTATGCTATGAAGGCCAACCCTGGTCCTAGGAATAATACCCCAGATGTTATTGATGAAAACATGGTTGTTAATCTGCATTATTTTATTACAGACCATTTAACTATTGTATCATTTTCCGAAAATAATGTGTTTTCATATTGGCTAATTGGCCAATCTCTATATATGAACATGGTTTACCAATTAAAACTAATGCTTTCAAAGTTACAGTTAAAATCACTTTTATCTAATGTTGGTACTGCAGTGTAGACTTTGGCATTAGAGTAAGTTTACCCATACTAATTTATACATAAAAATTGTAATACCTAACATGAATTTATATTATCTCTTATCCCATTACCTGACTCAGCACCTGAGAAACAGATACACCCTGTTCTTTTGCCATGAATCCAAGCACAGAAAAGACTGCAAATCTGTACTACACTGGTCCCATGTTCAGCAAACACAGCCATACAGTCTCTATCAAACCAAAGGAAAACAAAGACATCAGCCCAAAGTATAGTTAAAAACGGAAACTGGTGATTATAACAAAGGCAAATAAACTGCATGTCACCTATAACAGTTGTTTTTGTACTTGTTATAGCTGCCAGCACAGTCAGAGAGCCCACGCCAACACTGAAGGAAAAGAAGACTTGAGAACCCTCCGCTCATCCAAACCTGATCCAAAACAAGCACATTAATGGATATATGTAATTTGGAAAGAATATGTAAAAGAAATGCTGTCACCTGAGGGTCCAAGAGGTGCGATGGTTCTGGCAAAAGATAATATACCACTCCCCCCATTGCTCCAGGCAGAGTCAGGCCACGAATCAGTAAAAATCAACAACATCACATAAGGAAACGTGGCAGTAAAATAGACCACCTAAAAATAACACAAGCCTTTATTATTGTTTTCGATTTATTTATTGATCCTCGTAGGAGAAATTCCGTGGTGTCCAGTAGCAGCAAAAACACATCATCTCACTCTCACAAACAAAACAAATATTTTTTATTGAACATTTCAAAAAGTTAAAACAAGTATTAAAAACGCAACAGACATCAGGTCACAGCAGCAGAGGTGGAGAAGCTGCTTGGTTCAGACCATTTTCTCTGCTTGGTCCAAAGTAAAAAAGGCAGAATGCTTCATTAGTATTTTTCTAAAAGTAGCATTCTCCACTGCTTGGTCTGGACCAGTGCAAAACCATGAACAATGCACTGCAGCAACATCTCAGGTAGAAAAAAGTAACAAATAGCAATTGTAAAACACAAACAACTAGAGCAGTTTCCGAGTATTTGGGACTTGCTGCCATTTCCAGTGTATTCAAAAGAGATGCTCAGAACAGAAACAGAAAAGAACATGTATTAATGGACGTATTGCCTATTCATTAGTTTCATCAATGTTGTACTTTACAATTGCATGAATGTTTGCAATCATCTCATTCAACTCTTCCTCTGGTGGTAGCATAGGGAGTGAAAGATAAGCGTGTTTTTTTAACGACAGAATTTCTACTCAAACTATTATCTAATATTCTAAAGGCAAGAATGTCAAAGTAAATACTCTCAATATTATTTTGAATTCCCAAACAATAATGGCAACATATTTGTTCTTTAAATGCCTTATAATTGAAGGGAATCCATTCATTTCAGCAGTTCTGTTTGGCCTTGCTCTTCATTGTGTCTTACTATCGCGAGCAGGTGTATTTTTTTAAATACAATCCCTTTGACAATTTTACACATTTTCTCGTTAATGACCTACTTTTCCTGTTGACTTGACCCCTTTCCAGATGCAAAAGTAGCAAATGATCCACATGGCAGTTAGACACAACAAAATCTCCACACGGATGCTGCCAATCTGCTCTATTCCATCGGAGATGGACAAAACTCTGTGCCTAAAAAACAAAACGAAAATTAATTAATCCTCAATATCTTCTTTAAACGCAAATGTGCATAAATAAACGTACTCCCAGAATTCAGTGGCAGCATGAGGTCGATAAATGTCATTGTTCCATGATGTGTTGCTTTCTGTTGTAAAGTCCAACTAGTTTGCTGAAAACCAGACATTTATTTTACATAATGCATTCAGTGAGTTGGAGTTTGACTGTTACTTGTGTGAGAAAGGACAACACCGCACCAGTGTTCCAGTTAGTTTTGGAGCTGGCCAAGGAAGCTGAGAGCTGAAGGAGAAGATAGGTAAAGCAGAGCCCAAGCCAAGATGATGATGTAGGTCATACAGCTGTACAGAAGGATCAGCTGGCTCCGTAACCAATACCTGAAAAACACGGAGCAACTAGAAACTAGCTTCTATTTACTATAGTCTGATACGTTCCATTGAACCTTTGCAAAAACTACCCCAAGCTGTCCAAAACAAAACTCTTATCACTCGTTTTCACATGCATATATTTTCTGGTCTATGTCACAACATTTATAACAGGGTTTTCAGACAAAATGTGAAAAAGAGACTTAGGACTCAACCTTCACAGCGAAAGTGTCAAAACATGTCTTTTCCTTACAAAAAAGCACAAATATAGAAAGTTTACTGAATCAGCCGCAAGACAGTTATTCATAGCTTGTAGTGCATTATTATTTTGTTGTGCTACTTTACTGTTGCAAAATAAGTAATGGTACTACCAGATTGAACTGTCCTGTCTATAAAGCAATATATATTCAAAGCGAGGTTTATTATTTTTGTCCGACAAATGATACAAAGTAGAGTTGTACATTAGTGAATATATTCAATCACACTAGCAGTAAGCTTATGCTGTGATAATAATGCTCTCACGGGCTGCTCAGCATTCAATTACTATCTTCCGATCCTTCACACCCCTCGACACATGCAGCTTAATCTTTTCCAAGGCTACTTTCTTGCAGTCATCTTTGAATCGACTTTAAGGGTCCAATATTGGCGTACCTGCTCGCCAAAGGACAGAGTTTCCCTATCAGGTGCTGCTCCTTCTGGGTTGCACTGCCATGGAGGTCTCCAGCAGCACAAGTGGACATCCACGGTGCTCCCACCCGATACGGCCATAACTGCAAGAATTTACCCATTTACATCGATTATAAACACTAAAAATATCATATTTTTGTCTAGCCCCCCTTTCCTCTGCCTTTTTGTAGCAACTGATCGGGAACATCAACAAACAAAAAGGATGCAAGACCAACGAAATTACCCAGCCACAGCAGAAGACACTCCACTTTTACTAGCCACACCATGCCCACTCTCCTGTGGACCTTGTCCTTATGCTGTAAAAACTTCAGAATGTGAACAATATTATAAACGCAAACAATCGAATTGGCAGTTCAGAGTAAGTTGGAGGATTGTGTCTTGTACAAGAGATATGGACACACTGTCCACTGCAGTTATAGTGGAAGAAACTTATTTGTAAGCATACTATAAAGCCGGTGAAGCCGCTCCTTTTGCTAAGCTACTTACAGTTTGTGTCTGACCGTAAATCAGTGTATCCCAACTTTTTGAGGCCATGGCACCCTTTGTCATTGCCACAACCGATCAAACATGGCACCCC